ACCAAATAAATTATATATATTTTTTACCATTAATCTTTACAATATTTTTTAATACAAAATAACCTTTTTGTCATTAGTTTTTTTTTTTCGTTATCTATAGGGCCCTTTAAACTAGAGTTGACAATTATAGACTTAAATAAAATCACCCACACATTTTTATGCGTTTGGATGCTTGTCAAAGTAGTATTTCCATCCCATACTCATATATTAGTTTTTTTTTTTTCATTTTAGAATATACTTTAAAAATATTATCTAAGTTATTGCATTTAAGTATTTGATTTCGTTTCGGCACCAAAAACTATTGCATTTAATAAAAATGTAAATAATGAGTCTGAGAATGGGCAAGAGCACTAACAAAACTTGCTTCTTATGCATACACGGATCCGATTACGGGTCACTTTCGAAAATGTGGATATGGGTCTGAATACTCTAGTATCTTGTCCATAACTTATTTATTCTCTCATCTTTACTTTGAAAAATATCAATTCTTCAATTTTATTTATTATTTTAGAAGAATCAACAATAAAACTTATGGAAACAAAAAAAAAATCAACAAAAGAAACTGTAGTGCTTAATAGGAAAACAAGTAAAATATTAATTATCAGGAGAATAAGAAAGTATGAATTATTAAAGAATAAAAATATTTAAATTAATTTTTCTATTCTATCTCAATTCATTTTGAAGAGGAAAACAAACTAATAATTATGTTATAACTACACTGAATAACTTAACTAATTTATAGATAGGTTATATATCTATTTTTGTAATAAAATGATATTTTGTAGGAGTTGGATTATTAAATGATAAATGATTTAAAAGGGAATGAAGTATCTTACAGAAGCACAGGAGGGAGGCACCTGGCTATCTTCACCGGTCACCATAATGCGGTGCTTACAGTTACAGACCATGCCAATAATAAAGTTTTTCTAACACAACTGAGCAACGTTGTTATGACAACCGAACAAGAACACGCCGCTTGCTAAAATTCAACTACAAAAGAAGAAAGCATGGACCATGTTAGATCAAACCTTCAATGCCCTATCCAACAAAATGGACCATAAAACTAAATGGTGCGTATTAAAAGAGAGAGAGAGGGAGGGAAAAGGACGACACTTTTACATCATGGAACATTGGGAATCCATCCTCACTCTCAAGTATGAAGCTTTGCATATAGTATACTCTTTTTTATTAGTTAATATTCTACAACTTAAAATAGACTATATACGTAAACAAAATTAGGAGGCTTATCATCTACAACAAATACGATATGAACTAGAACAAAAATATGATATGATACCCAGCCAGACAGAGAAAAAGCATGGGTAAATTATATAAGTAATTCTTCGTGATTGAATATTCATCCATTTAATCCTTAAGTTGAGGTATATTAGTAAATTCAATATCATTTGAAAGATTTTTAATGCTTAAAACACTAGTTACGTAATTTTTTCACATAGGAACCATTTAGAAGAAAGGAAGATGAAATTCGTGGTTTATTCAGACACAATACAATTGTGATAGAATTTACAGAAACAGTATAAAACTAATTAACAGACAAAGAATGTACTTTCGTATAATTACTATAACATTCTCATTTATATTTGTAGAAAGATAGAAAAAGAACAATAATTAGGGTGTTGCTAGGATCATGTAGAATGTCCAAAGTGTTTTGTAAGATCCAACTTAAAAAATGAGAGCTTTGAGCTGCTACAAGTTTTTTTACTGCTGGACTTGGAAATTTGTTCTTCGGTTTGCATCAGATTCTTATTTTATTGGAATTTGTTTGATGGTATATGTTTTTTCATTTATTTTTGGGCTTATTATAATCGACCTCACTGCTACAACAAAAAATAAATAAATTTAAAATTATTTTTTATAAAAATCAATTTTCATTTTTTTTAAGTTTTAACTGATGTATAAAATAATTTTCAATTCTAATTTTTTAAAAGTGATCATGGAAAAACTTATTCAAATATACCTATTTCCTGTTAGATACACTAGAAAGACTGGGAATGTTCTTAAGATTGGTGTACTTTTTCAATTCTATAGGATTGATATCGATAATGGTAAAGGGATAAGCTAGACACAGATTGGTCAATTTGCTGAAAGCACTCGGTTCCTATTATTATTGAAATGGAGGTTCTTTGTTATTCAACTGATGCACAACTTCCAGGAAGATATTCACCAGCCTTTCTTAATTTTTGGACTACAGAAAATTTGGTGCAAATACAGTTGAAGTAAGCATTTTGATTGGAAGGTAAATTACGTAGCTTAAGCTTAAGCTTTAGCTTTAGCAACTCTCCAGCTATATTTTGAGCTCTCACATGTAAACAGTCGTACAAGTTTTCAACTGCACATTGATATTTATATTTGCAAAGAAATTTCACTTGTTCTGGACCTCATTTTCTCTCTATTTCTTTCGTGTCATATCATATCACTCACTGTTTTTTTTTTTTTTTGTTCTTTCTATGTCTCTCTTACTTCCCCCAACTACACCCTAAAAATCAAGAACACTCGTCATTTTCCTTTTTATTTAATATTATGGTCACTAACTTTCTTATGAGTTAGAAGCGATGGAAAATAAGTGAGACAAGACAGTTAAGATGTTAGTTAGTTCGAGGTATGATCGAGCATTTGCCAGTGTTGTTTGCTTGGACTCTATCGTTAATCGATCGTCCCTTAATCTTGTAGCCGATAGTTATAGACTATGAACTATAGGTCCAAACCACGGAGAAATGTCAATTTGAATTTCCCTTTATTTTCCTTTCAAACAGTTCTAACAATTCAAGTGGCAGCACTGAAACTTTTTTTCCAATCAAGTTTGCAGAACCATAGTATAATGCGCATAGTCCTGATTGGATTTTTTTCACAACTAGCAAATATGACCAATTTGCATTGAATTAGGTCAACAATGGAAGAAATCACTTGCACATAGAGAACACAAATTGTTTAGTTTTTATTCCCGACTGGCAGCGTTCTTAAAGCTTAAATGCTATGAGTAAACCAAATCGCAATGTGCAAATAATAACATTAGCATTTTCATGCCGGATTATAGAGCAGCAGCTATGGTGTTCTTGTGATCAAACTAATTTATTTACTCAAGAAAGAAGCTAGAGGTGTAGAACTGTTGCCATAATGTTACAATCATGTTCACCAATAGGTGATTGATTCTTACCGGTTTATTCTTTCAATTATCACCCCCTTCAATAGTCAATATTCTATCAAGTCTAGCTCTATCTACGAAACAATACCCTTCTAAAAGCATGCCTGCAGTTGTTTGTTGGAGTATTACGGAACGAAGCGGTGAATAAATTACACAGAAAGATACTGGACTCCAGGTCAATTGGATTGCAGTACCCTGCATTGTATTTTCAACAATAAAAATTGATGTCCATTACCATGTCTACTCTTAAAACCATTGGCTAATAACTAGTGAAATGTGCCTCTTAACACGACATAAATTCAAGTAGATTCTAACTTCTTACACCTCCCTACTTTCTTCTCTCACCTTCCATTCATTCCGAAGTACATTTACTATGATCCAGAAAAGCCCATTTCAGAATGAATGACGTTGAGGATGATAAATAATGAAGTAGGAAAAAATACCCTTTTATATATTCACAAAGAATACAGCGATCTCAGATTTGAGTGAGAAATACACCGTAATAATAAACTCAGCTATCAAAAAGAAATGCTGGAATAGCTTGCCCAAAAGAATGAACTTCCAAACAAAAATGAAATCCTGGTACATGGAGTAAGTGATTCCAGCATAAAAAGTAGCTTGGAGTTATTTGCACACCAATAAAGCAATATCCTACCATAATATTATTGCAACTGGGTGTAATCTAAGCCCGAGAAAGTGACATTGTTTATTCGAATAAAGGAATCAAAAAATTTGAACGAAATATACTCATCCCTCTGACCCGTGATTTTGTACTAGTCTGTAAAAGTAAACAAACCTTCAAACAAATATAACCTAACACGTTAACCACCCAAAATCAACCCTTTAGAAAATAATAATATTTATCGCCATACTCACGTAAAAGTACACAGTTGCAACAAAGGTAAAAATGCTGACTTGGAGTAACAACCATACAGGCAATTAATGTATATATAGCTTAAAACACGCAAGGAAATGCCATTATAAAAATTACGCGCAAGGAAAATAAGCAACATTTAGCATTACAAATACAAGGGATTTTCAACTAAACAAGGGGTTTCATATCAAATATAAGAAAATCAAAAACCATACCAAGACAAAAAGCTAATGCCAAAATTATTTCCATTGAATTATTCTCATCAAACCTCTATTTATATCCACAAGATCGGTGAAAGAAAAAATTACATTATCAATAAATATATGAGATCATATGATAGTCAATCAACAGGTGTGCTCTGTAGTAAGAGAAAACACTCAACTAAGATCTACCTGCCAAATATAGATCTCATTCCGATCCATGATTGATTTCTTAAATCTCAACCCAGCTTTGCTTCCACATATCAAGAACTACACAGAAACAAAGTGCAGAAGATTGAGTGCTGTACGTTTGAAAAACTGAACAGCTCATATATGATAAGTTAAATACTTAAAAGGGAATGAAAATTAATTTAAGTATGAGTCAATACATAGAACTTTTTTTTAAAATTATGTATAAACTAATTTTAATTTACAGAAAAAAATTATTTTTGTCTCCTTATTAGTGTTTATGGAAAAGTTTATCCTAAGTGCTGTACCAAAAGGACAATATTTTTAAATCTAGTATTGGACGACAAGTAGTTCAACACATTTTGATACAAATAATGTACAAAAGAAAAGAGTAAGCTTGGATTTAAATGATTACCAGCTGCAGCTATAAGCTACACTTCTTGAGAGTTTCATCATTTTGAAGTCCAATAGAACATTTATGTCACCAGCTAGCCTCATCACCTTCGGCAATGCAGAAAAATTCTGTTTGTCTAATTCTGATTTCGCTTTACCATGGTCAATATACCCAATAATTTCAAATCCCAAATGTTCTGTTGTACAGATCCCTAGAATTTGGCATCCTATATTTTGAGTCATCATATCCTCTATAAAACTTGTTAAATCCAAGTCTTTCATTTCTCAAAAGCTCAGCCACACCCAAACTATTTCCATTCTGCACTTCATTCCACCCATCCAATTGACCATTTGACAAGACTGCATTTCTAGACTGCTGAAGGGACAACTGAGGAAATGAAGCCAGATTATTGACTTGTGATTGATTTAACCTAGAAGAAATGCCATAAGAATCACCAAGCTGAGAAAAGGAATTCCCTATATCAGAAAATCGAAGATTTTGCTGTGGTGAGAGTGATCTTTGCATCAATAATTGAACTCTAGCCTCATTTTCAAAGTAATTTAACTGTTCAGGGTAATTGGACCGCATGTCCAGCAATGGGCTATTTCGTGCACCTTGAATTCTACCTTTACCAACTGCCAAAATAGCAGGATCCATAAATTCAATGTCTCCTGGACCACCAATATTTCCAGTTGAGGGTGTTTGATATGAACTTCTCAATAAGAAAGAAGAGTCAAGCAATGAATTCCCTGCCAAAGGGATAACAATAAATATTAAACCAATATCTATAAAGAAATGTAAAAGTAGAACAAAACAAGGACTAACCAGAAAGGGAGTCAAAAGGCTGCCCTGCTCTCTCAAAAGAAGAGAAACCAGGAGGTGGTGCCCTGTTTGGAACAGAAAATCCTGGTGGCGCTGAAATTTGTGCTCTTGAAACAGCTGAAGAATATGATAAAGGAATGTGATTACATGTCTATACAAGAAAATATATCTCTAAAATCTGTCAACGCACTTTAAACTTGGTGACATAACTCAATCAAAACTAGCAAACTACTATAAACCACACAAAATTGAAAAAGGTATGTTATCCAAACATTAAAACAGACTAATACCTGAACAGTAGACCTGTCAGGAGGGGGGTTCAGTGATACAAGTGTACATAAGCAATTGTTTATTCTCCTAATCATGATAAAAAGTCCATTTTTTTAATATAGACACACAAGTACTATATTGAAATTTTACGTGCTGAATGTCTCTATTTAGTTCTGCCAAATCCCATCAAAAGTGAGATAGATATCAAAATGTGCAGGTTACCCAACAATCGACGAGCAATAATTGCACAATACAAGTATGGCAATGAAAGAACAGCAAACTGAAAAGAAGTGCTGTTATAAAACTACAATAGCCAGTTTGAGTAAGCTATTAATACCCACCGGAAAGCTTATTGTTTGAAGGGGAAAAATGACCACTGCCAAGATTTCCAGATTCCTCAAGGTTATTGGAGGGGTAGCCATTTGTCATACCCACCTTGTCCAAAGAAAAGTCTCTTTCCACAAAATCATGTATGAGTGAACCTTTATTCGGAAATTGCTGGATAGCAGCAGAAGATGGATGTAAATTGGCTTGGATTTTGGATTCTTCTTGTCTTGCAAAAGAGAATCTTGACTGATTGTTACTTTGAATTTTCCAAGAACTAGATTTTTTTAGTGAGTCATTTTGCTTCTCAGTGTTGTCACCCAACAACATGGCCAAACTGTGAGGTGATGTTAGTGAGTCATCCCAGGCATCAAACTCCATGGACAAAATATTTGAAATGATACTACTCTCACCCTTGTCCATAACAGCATCACTTCCAATACTAGCGACTTCACTAACTAAACTTTCAATTTGTTGCTCATTTCTTTCATCATGGAGGAAACCATAAGAACTAGAGCTCGTTGATTTTTCAGAATATCCATTGCATGTTATGTTATGTGCATGTAATACTGAGTCATCCCCAACTTTATCATTGGCATCTAAAGAAGCAGAATTTACAATGTGTGGTTCACCATGCGGCAGAAGATGATGACGAGAATGATTTGGAACATGACGAAAACTGGCTGACTTTGGCAAATATGAACAAACAACTTCAGGATCCTTAAGTCTTTGATTATCAAAAGTTGTTATGTCGTCTTCTACTTCAGTATTAGCCAATACTACTTGAGATTGAGAATCCAATGACAAATCACACTGTTCCTTTAAACTACAAACTTCATTGTTTGAAGAAGCAGCTTTACTGTCTGCATTTGTAATCATTGCATCTCTAAATTTGTCAGCATTATACTGTGATTCTTGAGATTGCATAGATTCAGCCAACACATTATCAGATGAGCTGATAGGTTTGGGGAGGCTGTAGTGTTCATTTGGGGAATTTCCATCAAAAATAACAGAAGACAAATCACAGGACAAATTCTCAATCACTTCACTAGCAGATATAATTGCTTCCGCAGGACCAAAGCTGCATGACTGTCCAGTGATGTCAATAGAATTTGGTGTTTTCATTGCAGTACAACTGCCTCTGTCACTACCTCTGGACAATGGTAGAGAAGACAACTGGTTGTTCAATTTCACAGGTGAAAGACGAACATCAGAAGCAGTAGTTCTTTCACTAGCTCTAGCCATGTTATCCATGCTTCTATATAGTTTAACAGGTTTCGGTAATTCATTTTTTACCTCAGGAGTCGTACTATGACTCCCATCACTTGACAGCGGTCTCTTTGTCACGTCACTATTTAATGAAGGCTGAATTGTTCCTGCACCAGCAGACAAAAAGGGTAGTGTGCTGTTGATAGTATCAGGTTTAGGCTTGGCCACTTCATTTGCAGATAATAAGCCACCGGCAGCCGGCTGAAAATGTGTAGCCCGTGTACCCCTAGCAAACACATTGGTTGAAAATTTTAAAATATAAATTACTGCAAGCTTCATTGCAGAATACAAAAAAATATGCATTACCATGCAGCAGCAGGAAGAGGTAAAGGTCTCCCAGAACTCCCATTAGGAGGTGAACCTTGAACAGTGCTAACAGTGGTCTGCCCCATGATAAAAATAGGAAGTCAGAACCTATATAATCAGATGCAGAATGCACAAACTAAATTTCAAAAGCAGTATAGTCAATGTGAGAAAAGCAACTAAAATCAAATTAGCACAAAAATAAAGATAACCACCCAAAAAAATGAGGCAATATAATAAAAAACCAAGAACTAAAGAAAGCAACAAAAAGGCCCTACACTTGATGTATTGTCCAGAATTGGTTTTCCTGATGAATTGTCTGCACAATCATCCAATGGAGGTGGCAATACAATACCAGTGCGCCGTTGCATATTGTTTGCAGCACCAGTAATTTGTTGAACACGACTTCTTCAAAACAACAGAGCAAGTGACTATACCATTGTATGAAAAGCACTAAATGCAATTCGCAATCAGAGATAATGTTAACACAAATTAGGAAATTTAATTTGACTTGGGAATTGTGATACCCATTTGAATTCATCTACAACTACTCCTACAATATATAACTTACTTTGAATTCGGGCACTCACTCTCTTAATAAAAAATTCTCAGCACTCTCTTTCTGTCTTTGGGAAGAGCATTTAACTAGCGCAACAAGCCAAAAAATATCTCTCAATCATTTCAAACTACCCTCTTTTTATTTTGATGTATAGTTAATTTTCTTAACCTATCCATATCAATTTAAAAACAACCATATATTACAGTGTCAAATATTTACTATAACTATAAAATATAACTTATAAATTATAAATATGTAATATAATGTATAAATTATAAATATTTATTTAATATGAATTATAAATATTAAAAGATATTTATCCTGTGCAAGGTACAAGCTGAATTATTGTGTCAAAAGCAAATGAAAATTTAAATTAACTGGGGAAAGAATATATTATATGTAATACATCAGAGAATTTAGAATTCAGTGACTCCTAGAACGGATTCAACCCTTTAAAATGTCATTTGATTTCGATAATAAGAGGTAAAATTAGAATTATAGAATAGGGAATGAAATTAATGGCCCGGTTTGTATTAACTGCCAACTGAATCCCATCTGAATCAATATAAAAAATACACAAAGATTTAATTAACTGCAAAACTAAAAAGCTTGCCAATTGCATTGAAAAAGAAATCCCTACATGGGGAGTTTCAATTGATTCAAGGATTGGTTTTATGATTCATTGCTGCCTTGATTTTATGAGTGTTGAGGCGTAAGGTTTATAAACATTTAAATGAATAAAAAAGATATTATGCTTAAGCAAATAAAATTTTCAGCTATGATTCTCATATCATATACGTAGATCATTAAAGGGCACAACAGATTCACCAATGTTAATTTAAAACTGAAAGCTAATATGATCAGGAAATGAAACAATCTTCTTAACAAGAAAAGGGTAAAGTACTATCCCTTTACTTTATCCAATCATGATGGGATCATATAGATTCTATCTTTCATCAGAATCGTACCAAGTCTTGCATCAAAATTCAGTGTAGAAAAAAATAGTACCTAGTGTATGCTGAAATGATTTCATCTTTTGTGAAACTATCCTCTTGAGAGCCAATCTCATGCAGATACAGACAATCTGGATTACTGCAAGGCTGGTCATGAAGATCTATCCCCGATCAAGCTTCAGTAATGAATGAATAAGTTCAAATCCATAAGGAAACAGTAATTTTCATACCATGTTTCTGAGCCACGCATGACAATATTTAGTGGTTCCAAAACAAGCCCTGCAAATGTACAAACCAAAAACATACAGGGACTCAGACAACCACAGGCTAATCATCCATCCATACATGAACAGCTTCAATAAATCTAGATATATGTACCTTAAAGGTCTACCCTCCAAAACGAATCCATGTACATTTTGAATGCATCGAATTGCTTCTTCTTCCTTTGAATAAGTAATATATCTGGGGCAAAAATTCTTTCAGGAACTGCTACATTTTATTTAATAAATAAAAATAAGCAAACAAGCAGCAGTAACAGGGAATGTCATGGAGAGGGTGAAGGCCAGAAGTCCTGTTTTTATATTCTTTTATTAAAAGATTCTGCTTAGAAGGTAAAAGGCCTTTTCTAAAAATAAGGTAAATGGCCTTTTCTAAAAATAAGGTAAATGGCCTTTTCTAAAAATAAGGTAAATGGCCTTTTCCATTTCATTTCAAAGAAAAGATAATGTTCTGGTGCAGTCCTTTTGCTGCTCAGTTCCTTCCATCTAGTACTAACAAAAGAAAAGTATCAAAAGTTAAAAAAACAAATGCAGACATCAGTACTATCCAGTTATTCTGAATGACAACAAACGAGACAAAGTAAAAGGTCTGTCTAGTATTTACCATACCAGCCAATATGAGAAGTAGCTACTTAAAAACCATAATAGCAATGCAGATTACGGAAGAAAGTGGTGCATAGTGGTCACCCTCCAAAAACCTATGGTGGAATAGAATATTGAGGAGTGACCACTACACAAAAGAATACCATTGCAATGAAAATACAAGTCTAAAAGTTTGTCCCAAGAAAATACAAGAAATGACCCTAATTTCAGTGGCAAAAAAGAAAAGAAAAACAGGATCTTCAATGCTTGAAAGGAATAGTGCCTAATACAGACAAGAATGGCCGTGATTTCAGCTGCAAAAAAACACCACTCCAATCACAAACGGATGGGTGCAAAGCAATGGAGGTTATAGGAACACAGGGGGGTCATCTCACTCCAAGAGGGCACAATTATTGCACACTATTTAACTATGAGAACAATAACACAAACTCATTTAGTGTGTATAGTACTGTCAAAGTGATTTATGATATTCTAAACTAGGTTTTTCAATGTCTTGTGAAGCCCATTACATTCTGGTGGGTCTTAAAGAGGTTATAATGAGGAACTTCACTCCCAATTGAGTTGGGTGCACTATAGACCACAAGAGCGAAGTGCTCCACGACAAGCATTCAAGATTAGCCACAAGCCACTCTGCTCTATGCCACTATGGCAATCACCACCACTGCTACTAATAATCCTGCACAGTACCACCAAAGGAAAAAAAAAAAAACAAATTATGCTACAGAGTTGAAGACTATGTAAACTTACACACTACATGTATTGTTTGGAAACTGCTGAACAACACCAGCTGCAGTACGAGACATTGACACTTTTAAGACCTTCCCGTACTGACCAAAATATTCTCGCTGCTGGAGAAGCTGCACAATGATAAAATATTAGAAAACTTCCACGGAATAAGAAAATTAGAAGGTGAGGGGAGGTGGCCATGATCAAAACAGAAACATAAGATAACTATTGAAAGCATGAAGCAAAAATTTTACATCTTCATCTGCCAGATTGAGAGGCAAGCCCACTATGTAAACAAGGTTCCGCTGAATCACTCGCACACTACTGAGCTGCTTCCGTGCTTCAGATGATTTAGATTTCGCTTTCTGGTTCTTCATCTTTTTTTCCATATGAACTTCAGCCACCAATCTATGTAAAGAATTGATTAACAAGAGAAACACACCAAAAAGACCTAGTATGGTAGCTTAAACAAGTTTCTAAGTAGTAAGGCAAAGATCTATGAAACCAAAAACTTCTATCTAGACTTCACTCTTGTTCTAGCATAAAGACAAAAGTAACTCGTATATATTGTACATGACATACTATTTAGCATAATATTAATGAGATAGCTTATTTAGAGTCTTGTGGATGGTATGGTTATGGCATATGAAAGCATTACAACATTTCAAGCCTACAGAAATGTACTGTTAACAGAATAACCTCTCACAGTTTGCAGCCATCCCAACAATCTTTTCCTTATCATATGGAGAACGACAGGCAGGGCATCGTCCCTCTGTGTCATCCTTTTCAGCCATTTCCAGTATGTGATGCCAACACCAGACACATATCTACAATCAAGTATATATTAAAAAATAAAAAATAAAAAATCACCATTACCGTCTGTCGTAAATATTTCAAACAGAAAACCAAAAATAAACACTGGCTCCAGTATCTTAAATACGTGTTGATATAAAAAATATAGCACTTTATTCTGAACAAGGAAAAAAAATAAAATATACGGATACAAAAATAGTTTATAGAGTAAATCGTGGTATATGGTAAATAAGCAACACATAATGTACACAATTCAGCAACCCATGCCAACTGGCAGAGTTACAAACTGAACAAAATACGACCAAAAATGGAACAGGAAGGGAAGAGAAGAACAATAACAGTGAAGAATGTCAAAAGTTGAAAGATGAACAGAGTAAAATATATAGACCAAAATAACAAGTGACCAGATTGACAACAAAATTCAATATCTCTAATAAACACAGCATATTTATATATATTATTGCCTAATAACAAAAGCATAGTAATCGAATCAAACCTCATAACCACATTTGCATGGTTTCAGCTGCTGATCAGTCAAATCCATCTCTTCTGCACAGAGAGGACAAGTCCTTTCTCCTTCGTCACTCATGATTTCCCTGGATAAAAATTGAGCAAACCAAGAAACACATGTCATTCACAATAAGATATTATACACAATGTACATCAAACTTGAACCAGAAATTTTCTGTGTTGAGGATAAAAGATGCAGAAGAGCCTAATTTCAGTAAATTAATACTATTTTGCCTCAAGGAACTCAACAACAACTATGATGGTGCATGTTGTCCTCTACCCCTTGACGCAACATCTTAATAACAACGTTTGGTGCTATCGGAAAGTAACTTTAGGATACTATAACAAAATAAATATCATGAAAAAGTCAATCATTTGATAAAATGAAAATTTCGAAGTACAAATAATGATGGCACAAGGGAAGTGAACTACAACCATGAAACACAGCTTTAATTCTAATACATGAATCCAAAAAAAATAAAATAAATAGATTGAAGTACGTCCCTGAGAAACCTCAGATCAACTAAAAACTAATCGGAGTATAAAATCAAACAAGCAGAAAAGGAATGATTGACAATGGAAGACCTAATCACGATTTTCAAAGCTAACAAATCGAAATCCGGAAAAATCTGAAATCCAAAGCCAAAGCCAAATAATGAATTTAAAAATTTAAAAACAACAAAGAGAGAATAAAATTGAGGAGCTATAGAAATGATCTGTGTGAAATGAATAACAAAATATAATCCGCCTAATGCATTAGGGATCTATTCAAAAATTTGATTCGATAATTCGATCGAAGAAATCAGGGAGATGGATTGGAAGTCCAGAGCTTACAGTGGTGAGATCGGTAAGAGGAGATTGTTCCAGAAGCGCACGCACGAAAAGAAGGAATACGCAGGGTAAGAGAGCGAGCGAAGTGTAAAGAAAACCACAAGGTGTATTTTAAAGAGAGAGAGAATAAGGCTTCGTTTGGATGGGCCTTTTTGGCTTCTGTTTCTCTCCTTCACGGGTCCCTGTCCTTCCAAGTATTCCATTTCTAAATTCGTTTCATGCCCTTCTTTTTTTATTTATTTACTGGACGTGCCCTTCTTCCCCTGTTGACTCTCTCTTTATGGATTACTGTTTCAGTGTTTAGATTCTATAAGGACGTGCATTCCTAAGTGTTTATTCGTGTCTTGACGTGGCACTTTATCTATGAGACACCTCGTCACTTTTTTTTAATTACAGGACTGTGTTCGGTGAAAAGCTCCTTTCTTCGTCATTAAAAGAGAAACTGAGTTGTTTTCGAATTAGATATCATAATCTTGATCATAAAAGTCAATCGCATGTAAATCATAATTAAATTATTTATTAACATATTTTTGAGCCATTTTATTTTAGTTGGATGTGGCATGAGAGGGTTTTGATTCCTTAAACACCCACATGAATGCCTTTTTTTTTTACATGATTTTTAGAGTCAAATTTGATGGTTATGTTTCACCGATTAAAGGACTAATCAAGAAAAAAAGGGAGGTCTTGATCTAATACTTATCACAATTCGATGGTTTTAATTTAAAGGATGTTTTGCGCTTGCGTGCGTAACTTGCATGGTCCTGGATGCAAGGGTTAACACTTTCACATGGTATAGCAAAAGTGAAAGAATGGCTAACACAAAATAGAAAACCTACTTTTTCAGTAAGTTAAGAAGCAAGGTATGCATCAAATCATTAGCCAAACTTTTGTTAGTTTCTTCACCGACTTTATGTTACAAGACACTCAGGAAGAAGAAGAAGAATTTAAACTAATAATAATGTAAATGAGAATAACACAATAGATATTATAACTTTTTCATTCCTAGTTTTTAAGGGTGCTTAAGAACTGAAGTATCCAATCTGGATGGGAAAATCGAAGGTGATTACAAATATCATATTTGTTGAAATTCTTAAGAAATTAATCAACTTCTCTGACTTTTATGCAAAACTTTTTTGCGTTGAACTGGAAGAATTATTCTTACATTCTTACAATAAAATATATATGAGATATGTCACAATAATAGTACTAAAAAAAATCATTTAAGAACTTACTATATGATTGTAAATGCATGGTTTGTCAAAAAGGCAACATGTTCCGGTCTCAGCAAACTCAAATGATGGTATAAATAGGTGATCTCTAATAAAATAAAATAAATAAAAATTTATTCAAATATAAATAAATAATTTTATAAATAATTATATTTGTATGATAATTATATGACATAAAACCAGTTACAATGACACTATTAGTAATAAACCTAATTATTTGAGTTAATACTTTTATATATTTAATTTTAATTACAAAGATTTGTTTCATAAAAATATATAAAATATTCATATAAGTCAAATTTAAACTTTTATCTCAAATTAAAATATACATTACTTAAATTATTAAATTTTTTATTTTCTTTTATTTATTTAAAGAATAAGAACTTATTGTATTTATAAACTTTAAAATAAGTGAAATTATTTCAATATTTCATAAATACGAAGAACTTGTTAAAATTATTATTTGAACTCACGAATTTGTTTTTATCTAATTTTTATAATAATCAATCCGACTCATCAAATTTGTGTCTTTGTTGTTATTAGTTTATTATCGTATATTCTATAATAATTTTTAAAAAAATTAAGGTTTTTTTTCTCATAAAAAAAAACGCTTTATTATTTACAGGTAAAATCCAGTATGTAATTCACTCGTATTATATTATTTTCACTAACCTTAGATACTTGCTCCCGAATAATAAATAAACTCGAGCTCGATCATGTACTATTTACATCATCAGATTTTCTATTATATTTTTATAATCATGTACATACATTATCTTTACTTGATAAATACAAATATATGACATTTTATAATATTTTTAAAAAATATGTACATTCTATAATATTTTTAAAAAATTATTAAAATTAATGTTATTGTTAAAATATATTGTATAATTTTTACCTTATTACAAATAAGTTTTCGGTGTTGATTTTATTTTAATTATAAGATGTACAATTTTTCACTTTTTTCTATTAAAAAATAACATTAAATACTTATTATTATTAACTTTTTTACCATAAAAATGGTTTATCTACATATTTGTGTATTTATTTTTGAAAAAAATCGTATATTTTACAAAATTAACCTATTTTTATAGGTTTAGATCATAAATTAGTTTTCAATAGATTTTCTTGCTGTTTTGTGCATGTCAGAAAGCATATCTGTGTTTTAAATCTTCTGTATCTTTGAAATTAAGTCTTTTTAAATAAAGTATTATTCAATTTTTAAACTAAAAAATATAATATTAAATTGTAATAACACTTATTCATATTTCATAACAACAATTATTTTTACTTAAAAAATATTTAAAAAAAAAAAGAAGGAGACAGACCATGATCAATGGCGGATCTTTTGGGAACTGAGGGGTAATGACCCCCAAAATTTTGTAACTCTTATGTAATTTATTATTTTGACCCTCCCAAACTTAATGAACATTTAATATATAAACTTGTTTATTCACAATTTTATCCTATCAACTCCTTTTTAGTTTTGTAACTCTCAAATAATTCATGATTTTATTCATTTTAAACTTAATAATTATTTGATATATTTAAGTATATATTTATAATTTTATTCTTTTATTTTTCTATTTTTTTTATTTAATTATTATTTATTAATAATATATTTATCCCTTCAAAATAAATCGTCAAAATCCGCCGGATGGACTTTCAATACGCAGCAACTAGCCCTTAAAGTCTGGGCCTAACAACAATCGTATTGAACCCTGTTATTCACACTCCACGATTTTATAATTTTTTTTCTTTAAGTTATATATATATTTGAAATGAAATAAGTTTTATTTTTATGTTAAAAATATTTTTTCGACTGTGATGTATATAAATGGCATTGATATAATATATCTATTAAAAAATCATAATTATATAATAATTACAATTTATTATTACATTATTAAAAATTACTGTAAATTAGAGGTTCGGTTATATATAATTTTGCCTATTATTTAATAATAAAAAGTATTTGTTGTATTATTTTCAAAATCTCATAACATTATTGAAAATTATTTACAAATTTTAATTATTCAAATTATTTATTAATATTTATATTAAAATGTTAATTTGTTATATTTTTAAAAAAACATTTAAATTATCAAAATATTTCCCCTGCAAATTCACGTGTGTTTAAACTCTAATATGGAAACAAAAGCTAATAAACTAATGAAAAAAATATAAAAAGTAAAGTAAAAGAATAATATTTTAGATACTGAAATGAAGGAGATATAAATGCATCTAAGTGTTTTAAGTTATCATCAGCTAGCTCTTATAATATTGCATATTCTTCTCATTGTAGAATTATTTTTTTGTTTTATAATTTATTTATTTATAATTTTCTTAATTCTGCAGTCAAGATATTTAATTTGTAACTTTAAATCCTGTAAACGTATATTTAAAAATTATGTGATAGGAACTAGTTAATGAATATATTTGTAGTAAGCATTTTTCTATAAGAAACAAATGAAGGAAACACAACCTATCAAAAGAGTGTAAATAATCAAATATTATTGGAACCCAAATCAAGTAATCATTATGTTTGTTAACAAAGAATTTGAACAATGCAAAATATTATTCTTTTTTGCTTTAACTTTTTAGATTTTCATTTATCTAATTTTATGTTTGAAAGTATATATGAGAATTTGAAATTTCTTGGATTGAGAGGGGAGGGTGATAGTTAATATTTAAAGAATAAGAATCAGAAAAAAATATTTTGTAATACATGTCTTAGTATTGTTTTATTTGTTTTCTTTACTTCACCATCACACATTTTTAGAAAAAAAAAATATAAAGGATAACTACAAAATAGAGAGATTGTAATGGAAGAACATTTTTTTTAAAATAGCATTAAAAGATTTTTTTATTTATGAATTATTTTATTATGGTTAGAATTTTTTTATATATAAAGAGAATTTTAGCTAGAGTTTCTTGAAAAAACAAATATAAATATTTTATTATGAATCTTATTTATGAATTATTTAAATTTTGGTTATAATTTTTTTTATAAATAATTTTTTTAAATTTTAAACCTGATGTAATATTTATAATAAAATATTTATGTTTATTCTTAAACAATTCTTTTAACAATTCTTATTAAAGATACTTAAAAAAATTAAACTACCAGTGAGATGAAAGTTTTTTAACAATTTTCATTAGAAATACTTAAAAAAAAATTAAGATACCAGTGAGATGAAAAATATAAAATAGTATACAAGATTTTTTTTTTTTTTTTTAAGTTTTGATTGTTATGCTGGTGACCTCTGTATAATTTAAATATTGAGATTAATAATAGTTAATATAAATTTTCATTCTTAACTAAGTGAAATATTTTAAGGACAAAATAATTACAATCGAAACTTTAAAATAAAAATATTATTTCTTTAGTTTATCAAGAATATAGGTAAAAAAAATGATTTTTAGTTTTATTTTAAAAGAATAACATTTAAAAAAAAAACTTGTTTAACAATGATTTATTTTTTCAATTTTTTCACAGAGAATATTTGGATGATCATCTAGTTTTTATGAATTTAAAACGATTTTTTTCTAACAAAATATACTACAATACCTTTATGAAATCATTTAATGTAATAGCGTATAAGTAATTTTATTGAAAATAATAGATTATTTTAAAAAAATTATATAATTTTTTTTAATTATATTTATTATTAACTATTTTTTTAATAAATACTAAGAATTATTATTTTAATATATGAAAAAAAAATCATTGGTATGATACCAAACACCCCCTTACAAATAAAAAGAGAGGAGAATATTTTAAAAATAAAAATAAATAAAACAGTTGTAAAAGCAAAAAATGAGGTGTGAGTAGCAACTATTAACTTATCATTTGCTGAAACCCGTCCCTACTAGTTGTTACAAATGAAATGACCCAACACTTGGCACCCGTTTGTTCCATCTTCCACCTTATTTGATTTTTATATTTTATGCCTCTTCTCCCCACTTTCATTACCATTTTATTCATTTTACTAATTTTCTATTCATTTTATCAAATATTTTCCTTTTTTTTTATTGAACTTGTAATATTTTAGTAGTATATTGTTTTTCCAAAAGGTAAAATATTTAATTGGAGATGCATTAAGATGGCCACGACCCAGTGATCAATGCAAACTAGCAAAATAAATTATAAGTATTGTGAGATAAACTCGAAATTATATTCAATAAATTTATTATCCCATGTCATAATTCTCATATACCTACCAACAAACATTATATAAAACTAAGAAATATTATAGTTCCCATGCTGTAATATTATTTAAATGAAAAACTTAAAAAATTATAAATAATGTAATCTAAATTTTGTCTTTTTATTCTCTTTGGTAATTTTTTTTTTCAAAAATAAAACTAAAAACCGATTATCACATTGACAAAATGGTTCAGCACAATCTACCATCATTTTGAATTTCTTGCAATATTATATTGATCTCTTTCTATTTCTTTCAAAAGAAAAATAAAAATTTATATACTTTATACCATTTTCTTTATCTACCTTCTGTCTTTTTGGATGTTCATCACAATAGTTTCATAGTTATCAAAACAAAACAAAACGTAAATATCTTTTATTTAAACAAATTTTTAAGCCAGATAGTAAACTTTCAACACTCGTTTCACAAAAATTAAATTAAATAAATTTTTTTTCGTAACAAAAGTAGTATCTTTTACCCATAAATTAAGCTGCAGAAATTGTATCTCCTAGAAAATATTTCTTATACTTAAAAGTTTTTTTTTTTGTATAGTTTGAGAGAATATATATATATATATATATATATATATATATATATATATATATATATATACATATATTGGGTGGTAGGGCCAAAGGAGTAAGTGAAGACAATGAATAAGTATGAATCCATGATAAACTACAAAAACAGTGGTTGGTGGTAAGAGTCACCAATGAAATGATAAGCGCAATAATATTTCATGAACGTACAATAATATTTCATGAACAACCCTTTTCGGGCATTATTGTTCAGCACAGTTTATAAGAACAGTAAAGATGAAGAAATAAGAACAAACAGAAGAACTAAAAATATAAGAAAAAGAGGAAAAACACATCAGTCAAGTACGATGTGTCCGCTAGAGTTTCAAATTGTTCATGTAATTTGCTATATAGATTTTGCTACAGATGAAAAACAGTTTTTGATACTAATCTCTTTCAGCTTATTACTTTGTTACAAATATAGATATTACCCAGTTTTTTTTAACTGATACTGGAATTAGTGTATAATTTGTGCCGACAAAAAACAAAGGAATTCCAACACGTTTATGTGTGCAACAAACGTCTTTTATAATCTTCTAATATGATAAAACATGTTAGTATTTTTAATTCGTGAATCCATTTTGATCTATTTTATCAAATTGTTGATCTATTTTAATCTATCGGGTTAATCTCCCAGGATAAGATGAGTCAGCCTATAAGCTATTTTATTAATAATTTTTTTTTTATTGTAATACAATACAAAAAATCAGTTAATATATAATTAATATAAATATTTATGAAAAGAGAATTATAAAAGTCTCAATGTCTCACGAGAATTCATAAAGTATTAGTATCTCATAGTTAAAAGAATTTCATAAGTTTTATAATTACTTAAACTCACATTATGAAAAACATTTTCTTTTCTCAAACACAAACCCTTCTCTCTCATCTTTTTTATTTCCTCTTATTCATCATCTCTTTCTTGTTTATTCTTCTTCATAAAAATCATATATATCTCATATTTTTAAATATACAAAATAAAAATTTAATAAATTTTTATTACATACGTGTATTTATTATTATATAAATTTTATCTTAATTTAATTATTTTAAAATATAAATTAAAATAATATATAAATTTATATTATTAATTTGATCTCTATATATATTGAATGATTGATAATGATAGTTTTATTATTAAATTTATTAAAAAAATTGATTTAAAAATAATAAAATAAAATAAAATAAGAAATCTGACAGACCAGTCATTCAGTCCACCAATCCGCTCTTTAGCGGGACAGACCGAGAGCTATAATCCATCATAACTATAGTGAGCTAGTCCATCCCATCTCGCTTTTGATGAATTAAATATGAGACAAGCTAAAACAGTCAAAACGAAATAGACGAACGATCCCTAACTATATTGTTAATAATTTAAAATTACAACCCAAATATTAATAATTACTAAGACTTTTCAAACATGAAAGTATTAATGAAAAGTTGTAAGAACCAATTATACCATAAATGATATCAAACGTAATTAATAAAAGAAAAAAATATTTTAATATTCAATATACTTTTTCTTTAGATAAAATAATTATTTTCTATTGATACGATTTATTTTTAACTTAGAAAAACTTTTTTAGGGTTGGCATAAATTTTGCAGAACAATTATAATTTATGACAAATAAGACTTAATTAAGAGTTCTTAAATGAATATGTGATATGTTCATTACTAAATAAATATATATGCTTCCAATCCAACTTAAAGTAAATTATGTTGAATTTTGTAAATAATTAAGTTAAATTTGATTTAATTAAATCTTTAACGAATTAGGTAACATGTTTTATATATTCAACTTAAGAATCAATCCAATCTATTAAATTAAAATTATTAAAATAATATTAATAATAATATATTTATTATTTAATCTATTTAGTTATTATAATATTTAAATATGTATTTTTGAATATTAGATTATTAAATTACTTAAATAATAAAAACTCAGTTTATTTTAAAAAAATGTAAAAATATATATTTTAAAAATATATATTTTTACATTTTTTAAAATAATGTAAAAATATATATTTTTAAAATATTTTGTTTACTGTTTGACTAAAATCAATTGAAACAAGTCAACTCAACCTACGCATTCTGATTGGCAACACCATTAGTGGTAACTTTCCACTTATTTTCTTGCATTTCACTTCAGTGTGGTTTATTTTTCCACCATTACTTTTATCATCAAGCGGTTTAGGATATTTCCAAATTTCAAATCACACAAACTATCATTGTTTTAAATCACACAAATAAAAAGTATAATTTTTATTGGTGGATATTATTCTCTTTTTATGCGGGTTTAAACACTCTTTTTTATTGATAGTTTAAATGTTATTGAAGAGATCCTTATTAATTTATCACACAAATATAGTTAAGTTATTTTATTACAATAAATATAAATTTTCACTCAGTTTATTTTAAAATGTATTTTTGTCATTTCATATATTATTTTCAAAAGAGGTATTTATGTTGTCAAACTAAATAAATAATAAAAAAAAAGTATGAGTATTTTATCAAATACATATATTTTTATGAATTTTGAATGAAACTTCATATAGATTGTAGGAAGGTTTCTTACGGATTTAAACTGGTAAGAAAAGTTTCTTGTTGAAAAATTATTAAGAAAAATTGATGCGGATTTTTGTTTTTTTCTGCATGAAATTTTGCAGGATTTTTTCCACACAAAAAATTGCAGAATATATTTTATAGATTTCAAATCCCTAAGCAGTGGATTATCAAAGAACAAATTACTTACACATCATAATCCACGAAAAGACTAATTTTTTTCTTCTTCTATAAATCTCAATTCAAATTTCACAGACAAATTTTCGTAGAATACGAAAAAATTCAAGGGAAAATGGTTGGAAGATACTAGTAATATCTTGACGTTAGCAAAACGTCACGTAAGTTTCATGTATTTGATTGTTTTTTTTTTTTTAATATGTTAGGTTGTGTTTCCCCTTGAAAAAATCGTAAACATGGAAAAGAACATGTCCTATAAAAAGGAGAGCACATGGGTTTTGTGGTTTGAATGGTGAAGTGGGAGAGAAAGAAGATCAATGGGTGACACTTCCTGCAGCAGCATAGAAGCACAGAACATGAACAGTGAGAGGAACCGAGGCGGGTGGAGAAGTTCTCCCTTCATCATTGGTCTCTTCTTCTTCTTTCTGCCTTTGCCTGTGCAGCACTAATGATGTATTAATTAATTTATTAACTGTGTATTAATTGTTAATGGTTGAGCAGGATCAATGGCGGGTATGTCACTCGCCAGTGCAGGAATAATTGGAAACTTGATTGTGTACATGATACGTGAGTTTCATGTGAAGAGCATCAGTGCTGCTCAGGTTGGAAACGTGGCAAATGGAAGCACCAGTTTGTTTCCCATTGTTGCTGCAATCATGGCTGATTCTTTCTTTGGATCTTTCTCTGTTGCCTTGTTTTCTTCCTTTGTTGCTTTCTTGGTAATAATACTCTCTCCCTCTCTCTCTCTCTCTCTCTCTCTCTCTCTCTCTATATATATATATATATATATATATATATATTATATTCCATTTTTTTTCTTTTATCCTTCCTTGCTTTCTTCTCATCTGCTGCAATATTATTCTTCCATATTTGTTTGAAAACCCTGAATAAGGGCGAACTCAATTGTTTTTACTTTTTTTCAAAGCATGATGCAGAATATAACATGTACTTTTCATTTTTTTTATATCTTACAATTCAAGTTTAAATTAATTTATATTTTTTTCAATTCATTTATATTATTTTTAAATAGTTGTACTAAAAAACTTAAACTCTAAAATAATACTTAATACTAATACAATTATTAACTCTGATTATATTATTTTAAAGTTAGAATATATAAATTTATATATTATCTTTTAATTTACTATTGAAACTTTTACATATAATAATAATAATATAAAAAAAAACCCTGCTTCAATCCATGTAATATCTTTTAAAAAATAGTCGTGATAAAAATATTGAACTCAAAATTAAATAATATAATGTAATAATTAATCTAATTTTCATACAATACACTTGAATGAGTTTTACCGAATTCTGATTAGAAAAGATTAATTAAACTGCATATAAATTTTGTTAAAAAAGACTAATCTTTCTTCATTTCTTTACTTGCTGCTTTTAGATTTTTATTATTTGTAAATATACTTTTAGTTATCATTTACATTATATTTTGATTTATTTACAAATTATATATATTTTTATTTATTAATTCATTGAGGTATTTTTAACAATAAGATTGTGATGAACTAAAAGAAGAATATCATGTGATAATTCATCTTATTAATAATTATATCTCAGTGAATATCAAGTCAGAACCATCTTTTCGATATATTTTATTAATGAGAACCTGCAAATGATATACAAGAGTGAGTGATAATTAATAGTAATGAGTAATTTTATAAATAGTAACTGACCATACCTACTCAAAAATTGTAGAGTATTTCTTACTATTTTAATGAGTATAACTCTTCAAATCATGAGTTATTTATTATATTATTGAATGATAATCTTATATCTCGGATTGACAAATATCTCAATTAATAATTAGGACCGGTACAATATACCCATTATTATCCTAATAATTATGAAAAGATATGGACAAATTATATATATATATATATATATATATATATATATATATATATATATATTATTCATAATAAAAATAATAATAAACTTGAGTATGTTTATAATAAGTTATGAATGTGACCACCGTTGATAATGGAGCTTGAATTGTTAAACCGTTTTTGTGTTTAAGATCTAACAAGTTGCGATATTTAATATATTATTTAATTTATACGTAGGATAAAATTTCTTAAATAAAAAATAAAAATTCACGAAATTTCATGGTTTTATAAATTTTAATTTAGAGTAGTGCTAAAATATTATTTTCATTATTAATGGATTTTTTTTGAAAATTAGGAAGGATTATTATATATATATATATATGATCTGAGACTCCGAATTACACCATTATTAATAATTTTTTAAGCCAACTATATGTTACAAAATGTGTTGTTAACATGTTACCTTCAACGGACAATAGAAAAAAATTTAAAATGGTGTATTAAAATATAAAGTTTTTTTTGTTTGAATTTTTTTAGTTGGACATTATGAAAGAGACTAACTTCACTCATACAATTTTCTTTAAAAAAAAAACAATTCTTATTCTTTCTCAATTTTCACTCTTATTTACAAATACATTTTAATATTTATTTCAGTATTCATATCCATTTTTACTCTTAGATTCGTTTTTTTTTGTTCTTATTATCAAATAAGATGAATTGAAATTTAGCAAATAGATATTTTATCAATTTTTTTTTCCTAACTTTTTATTTATCTTATACCATGTATTTTGTTCATGCAGGGCACAATTATTTTAGTGTTGACAACTATTATCGATTCATTGAAGCCTAAGCCCTGTAACAATGGATCAAAGCTATGCAACCCCCCTTCAAATTTCCAATATGCGATCTTGTACGGAGGCATAGCTCTATGTGCAATTGGATTTGGGGGTGCACGCTTCACAACGGCAACATTAGGAGCAAATCAATTTAACGAGGCAAAGCATCAAGACATATTCTTTAACTGGTTCTTCTTGACTTGGTACACTGTTTCTGTTGTATCCTTTACTGGGATTTTTTACATCCAAGATAACGTGAGTTGGGCTTGGGGTTTTGGCATTTGTAGTGTTGCCAACTTGATTGGCCTAGTCATTTTCTTACTTGGTTATCGAGTTTATCGTCTTGAAAACCCACAAGGAAGCGCTTTCTTGAATCTTGCACGTGTTCTTGTTGCATCTATTCGGAAATGGAAATCTCAGCTGTCTTCCACAACAAAGGATTATTATAGTGCCCACGATGAAACAGTTCCAGTGCAACCTGCTACAATTCCTGGACAAAGATTAAGGTACCAACTTATGATTATTGTTGTTGACGTTGGTTGATTACCCTTTGTAAATTAGTTTGGTTTTTAGACTGTTTATTCAAGTTTGCTTCCTCGAAATATTTGTCAGACAGAAAACAGTGATGCTGATAGATTTGTCACAGGTTAATGTCCCAAGAATTTGAACTAGAGAGACTGCAAAGAGAATAAGTTATTTTAAAGATTTGAAACTGAAAACCTTAATTAAATATAATCAGTGCTGCTCAAGAACGTGGTGCATCTTTTGGTAAAATCCACTTCATAATAGAACACATTTTGTGGTGGATATAACTTATAAGTGACACTGACTGTGAACATAAAGTGATCAATAGTTATTGAGTGCTGTTAATAAGTTACCACTAGTGGTAGTGGACCTAGACTTTTTGCCTTGTTTTTCAGAATGTTGAGAAAAGCTGCATGTGCCCCACTTCATTGATAACAATCCAATTTAAATTAGCTTCGAACTCAAATCATATTATAAAACTCTATGGTTAAGATTTTGTAAGGAAAAAGTAAAGTTTATAGAAATATGAGCTTAACTACTAATAATAGTGTGCTACATGTAAACACAGATTCTTCAACCGTGCAGCTCTAATAACTGATGGAGACCTTCAATTAGATGGTTCAATTGGGAAACCATGGAGACTAAGCACAGTTCAGCAAGTGGAAGATTTCAAAGCTGTTATTGGAATCTTGCCACTTTGGAGTTCAAGCATATTCCTATCCGTTCCAATAGGAATCCAAGGCAGCATGACAGTCCTTCAAGCTCTAGTCATGAATCGTCACATAGGACATTTTCAATTCCCAGCTGGCTCCATTACTGTTGTACCCTTAATTTCCACATCCATTTTCCTCACCTTTCTTGATAGGGTACTTTGGCCTGCATGGCACAAGTTGAATGGTAAATCGCCAACCACTCTCCAACGAATTGGAGTAGGCCATGTGTTCAATGTGCTTGGAATAGCTGTCTCAGCTCTTGTTGAATCAAAGAGGCTCAAGATGGTTCATTCCAATCCCTCTGTAACTATGTCTGTCCTCTGGTTGTTTCCACCACTGGTGTTAGTTGGCTTGGGAGAATCATTTCATTTTCCAGCACAAGTTGCTTTCTACTACCAGCAACTTCCTCGGTCACTTGGAAGCACATCAACTGCTATGATTTCCATGCTTATAGGGATATCCTTTTATCTAAGCACTGCTTTCATTGATCAAGTGCATAAGAGTACTAATTGGTTACCAGATGACATAAATGAAGGGAGACTTGATCATTTCTACTGGATGCTAGTCGTGATAGGGGCCATCAACTTTGTATATTACTTGGTGTGTTCAACTTTGTACAAGCATACAAAAATGTAAGAAGAGATGAGGTTGGATTGTAACATCTTTTGTTTTTTTTATATAAATTATGTTGGATGTTGCTGAGTTATTTCATTTGTTACTTTTATCTCTCTTTAATGTTCTTAACTACTTGCCATCAACTGAAAGGTAATGAAAACAATTTACATAAAAAATATGAAAAGTATGACTTCTTTCTAGAGAGTATGGCTATAAACAATATATTAATAAAATAAAGAGTAAAGAGAGTTTTTGGTGTTTTTAAAATTTTTGAATTGGATGAAAAGTATTGTATTTTGAAAATTCAACATGGAACTAAAATTAATCATTCCTACCTTAACATGGGATATAAGAGCTCTCATTAAGACTGAAATTGGGCTTGTAACTGTAATTTTGTGCTTTAATTGTTTAACATGCAAATATAAAATCAAATTTAATTCAATAAATGATGAAATAAATCATCATCATCATTATTATGATTTAACTTATAAGTTATTTTATTTTCAATTTTCAGTTATACTTAAATTAGTTTTATTAAATAAATAAAGAACACTTTTCCAATTACTTTTAATAATAAATTTCAATATATAAATTTAAAAACTATACATATGATATAAATATATTTTCATTGTATTTATTAAATCCAATAGATATATTATATTTAATATATCTCAATTAGTGCTATATAGGAAAATTAACAGTCTACTCATGTAAATAATATATTAATTAAATTTATATATTTAACAAATATTATATTAGTAAAATTAATATATAAATACTGAACCTAATTTACAGTGTATTCATCTGTCCCTTTACTTTAACTGCGAGAACAGTGTTTGAGAAGAGAAGTATACGATATTATGCAGGAAAAATAATTAAAAGATTTTTTTGTGAAGTTAAATATCATAAAAGTGTGCCCAACACAATTCATTAATATCATAGAAAATGCTAAAACAATACATTTTGTTTTTAGTTCAGATATTTATATATACTAAAAGTAACATATAATAATAGAGTTAATTAATGTAATGTACTTAAAATAAAAGTAAAATATATTATAAATAAATTATTATAATATAATATTTATTATAACCAGATCTTCTTTGAAGTTGAAAGGGGCATTTTGTAATTCTTATGTAATTTATGATTTTAATCCTTAAATTTAATGATCATTTAATATATTTACTTGTATATTTATAATTTTATCTTCTAATCACTCCTAATTCTCATATAATTTATTATTTTGTCATCTTAAACTTAAATATCATTTAATATATTTATTCATATATTTATAATTTTATCCTTTCATCTTTTTATCTTCTTTTACCCTTTTATATTTATTTATTATTTATTAATAATATATTATCTAGTCCCCTAAAATTAATGGTGAAGATTATAAAAACATAAAACTTAAATATAATTTGTATCATTAATCGAAGATAATGTTGCTATTATAGTTTAATTTTTCTCATACATACCGAAGACCAAAGTAGTGCTATTTTTAATAAGACTAATAAAGCTTCCAATTGTAGGGTTGGAATAAAAAGGAGATGGTGATGCATGATTCACAGAATGTAGCATCATGATTATGGACCCAACATCCTCTTTCTCTTGTTTGCAACCCCTTTGAAAACAAGATCACAGGATCTTCTAATTTGGCAGTTTGTACGTTAATGGGTGCCAAATTTGAGTCTATTATTGTCTCCTTCGTTGACTCTTCTTTTGTCTTGGTTGATAATAAGGTTCATTCAGTTTTTTTTTTTAATGAAGAATTAGGGGCCTCACAAACTTTATTATACCTACCGCACCAATGGACCGTCTCCCTTTAGGAAATTAGATCATTAAATATGGTGTTAAAGCAATTTTTTTTTTCGTACGGCAATTTTACCTATAATTTTTTTTATATGACATTATTTATATTAAAAAAGGTAAAATTTGTTTATTTGATTTCTTTTTCAGGTTTCTAATATATCCTTGTTTGAAGTTAAACAAATAATTGGACATGGATCCATCGTAATCCTGGGTTCTAATTGTTTGGATCCATCAGAAAATCCCAAGAGGTTTGATTTTAGGGTTTGTATCTGAATGTAGCCAGGAATGAATGCAGCACGAGAACGTTAGGCATGTACAAGGACTGTTTGCCAGAACCCACCCACTATACTATACGGGCTCTGTCACGGCCTAAATCCTTAGAGGTGGCCCATATCTAGCCCATTATTGTTTCATGCATCCAGTGAATATTAAATCCGACCCATTCTCTTAACGAAGAAAAATGGAGAGTAATATAATCGCATCCCCTCCAATTTTACTTAAATTTAAATATTAAAATATTAATTCTCATAAATTTTATTTTTATTAGATTATAATATTATTAATTTTAATTTATTTCTATTAAATTTTATTATATCATATTTTTTAAATTTTATTATTTTTATTTATTAAATATTAATTTTCTTAATTGATTCAATAATAATTATATTTTAAATAATCGATAAATTTAAATAATTAATTAATAATTTTTATTATTTTTACTAATCAAATAAAAACTATTATATTAAATATTTGTTTATAAAATATATAATTTATATTTATTAATATTTTAAAATAATAAATTAAAAAAACAATAACTTAAATATATAATTAAAAGTTTAAGCATAATTTTATAATATATATAATAATAATAGTAATTTAATATTAATTTCATATTTATATAAAAAAAATATCAAATATTTTTTTATATACATATTTTAATAATAAATATATATAATTAATAATAATAATAAAAATTAATAAATTATAAATATTTATTTATATAAAAAATATTAAAATTAATTTATATAAATATTTTAAAAAATATATATAAAACGAGAATAAATCGAAGATGAAAAAAATTCAAAACCCATGAAAAATGAGAATAATTGTTAAAATTTGAAGTTGATAGGAAAGTTTGAAGACAAAATCCACCCCAAAAATTGGAAGGATTCCACGATTGGGTTAACACGAAAAATAGCTTTTGAGCTCAACCGAACATAGAAAAGGTAACAATACATTCAGTTGTTATATTTTGGCATTTGCAAATTGAACAGCTAGAAAGGAAAGTTTTGTTTCTGAGAAACTCCGTTTTGTACTTTGAAACATTTGTAATTCGGAAGATTGCATGCATCTTTTCCCATCTGAAAACAAGTTCAATATTTACCACTTGTTTGGAGAAATAAAAAATTGGACCGAAAGAGAGAATACATGTTTGAGGATAATTTTTTCTTGTTTGTCAAGAAAGAAAAAAAAGATGGAAAACCTTCCTTCAATTTTTTTTTTCTTAAAGAAGAATGAAAATCAAGATAAACTTTATATTTCCAATCAGACCGTTTAGAAAAAGATACGACAAAAATTAAGTTTTACCATTGCCAATCAACCATCACAAAATAACATCATAAAAAATTACAGATGAAAAACACAGTTAACAAACTAAAATCAAGAGTAGGGTTGGTTGCTCACTTATTTGAAAATTGTCAAACTTACACTAGCTTTAATAACCAAATCCTGCTAAAATCCAGACTAAGGCTATTCATTTATTTTTACAGTATCAAATCTACACTTGATTTAATTACCAAAACCGTTTTTGTTCAACATTGATTAATCAAGAATGAGGTTATTCACTTATTTTTACAGTATCAAATTTATACTTGCTTTATTTACCAACACAAAATTATACTTATTTTATACTGTACATATAATGATATATAAATATAATCTACCTAAACTTCAACTAAAACAATTCAGATTTTACACCTCTGCACTGTTTTCCTAATGACGTTTATTAGCACACGTTTAAGGTACTGCTTAGTGAAAAACAGTGAAGTTAACTTCATTTTTTATTTCTAAGGAATTAGTCAGCCAAAGAAACCAAACCCTCTTCTGTAAGCTTCAGCTAATGTTGCAATCCCTGGAATTTCCAGGAGAATCCTCTTCAGAAGAGGCATCTCCATCCAAGAGTCCTAAAAGGTAGCCCTCTGCATCTTCTTCATCACTCACAATATCTGCCCTACTATGTCTCCTTTCAATATAAGCCAATGTCTGCCGCCTCTGCAGGCGAAGAACATGCATTATAACATCAGGGGTAAGGGTTACTCGTGATCGGTCTTCTCTACCTTGTCTGTTTGCCTCCATTATCTGGTCACATGAACATTGCACATGGAAAATAAAAAAAGGCATTAAGCATATCCTGTGTGTTTGTGTGTGTGTGAGTAAAGAAAGTAGTTGACTAATGGAGAGAGGATGAATGAAGGAAAAATAAAGACAGCATAGATAGTACCTCTTTAACATTTCCAGGAAGTGGGGGTATATCATTCCGTAGAGGAGCCCAGATTTTCACATTTTTTTCTATGCCACAAGTAGCAAGGATAGGTATTCGCGGATGGGCCTCAAGTTGATTTACAACACGTTGATCGCCTAACATTAATCTCACGAGCTTAGCTTCCTTCTTCTTCCAGATGAATATATGGCCACAATCTGAACCACTCAAGACATATTCATCATTCGGGCCAAAAAAATTCACTCCTTTAATTGTCTGTGCATTTCTGTGGCCCGAGTAAACTTGTGCCTCATGATTATTCTTCAGATCCTCATATGAAGTTGATGAACACATGCCCACATTCTTTTCAAACAGATAGATGAGCTCATCATTATAAGAAACAAGGAGTTCACCAAAGCTTGAGTAAGCCAATCCTGTGATATGGACATTATTTGAACCAATTAGGTGGCGAGGGCAAAACGTGTGAACAGGTTGATCTGAATTTCCAGCTGAATCCCACTGGCATTTTCTTATGTCATAAACACGTGCATATTCATCAGAACCACCAACAGCAAAGTAATATGGATTTCTACAGTCGATCACGATCGAATTCAACCCTATTTTGCTTGGAATCTGTTTTCCTGTTGATGATGAACAACAGAAAAGTTTTGTAGCAGAACTACTTCGCAAATCAAACTGCAAAAGAAACAAAACTTATAACTGTTTGGGGATAGCATAAAGGAGAGCTTCAACGTGCAACATGCTGTAATACTTGACTAACATGTTGAATAAGTCCATCTTCACCAGAACTGTAAAATATATGGGGACTTCCAGGCTCCAAAGCAAGCTTGTATACACAACCATGGTGCTTCCCCAACAATGTAGTGTCAACTTCACCATCCTCCCGGAGAAGGCCAAGCCTTACCTGTAAATGAAACATCAGTTTCATACAGAGGAGAATCAAGCATACACTTTAAAATAGCACAAGTTAGGACGACCCCAAATCTAGAGTCTTGACTTTCGCTATGGAGATATATACATTTGGATGACAGACAAAAGGCATCACATCTTGATAATATTAATCAACAGGAGAAAACTTGTACAAGCAGTTTTGAATTGTTATGCTTGATTATGGTGGCACTCTATTAATGTTAGGTAGCACCTACCAACTTATACCATATACTTGGAATATTAAGCCTTTTTTTCCTTTTTGCTACTGAGATGTATCATGTTTAGGAGATAATCTTTGTCGGGTACAATCTGGTACTAAATGTAAGCATCTCTTCTACGAAAATTCAAAGTTTCGTTCAACACGTTAACCCGCATTCTGTTAGACCGAATCCTTTCATCTGATGTTATCTAGCTTAGAAAAGATATGAAGCTAAAGAGCATCAATTAAATAAAAGAACAGATATAGATAACATGATCAAGTGACACCACTATAATTGTTCCTAAAAAAGAGGAAGCAAAGGGAATTGAAGCCTCATATTTGTGGGCAATACAGAATATTTGATTTGATGCACACTTTCACGGATTTATTTACCTGGCCATCACCAGCAGAAGTTACTATTCGACAGTCATCTGAGAATGGCATAATCTTTGTCTGGAATATGTTGTCTGTGTGGCCAGAAGGGTATGCAAGCAATCTAGTTTTGGATGCCCAATTCCATAACATAACTTGTCGGTCATCAGAACCAGAGACAAGAAGGTCACCAGTGGAGTTAAACTCCACTGCATTCACACACCCTTCATGACCATCTAACTTCGCGTATAAATTCAAGCTATTCACAAGCACCTGCAAGTGGAAATAAAATAAACCTCATATGACAAATTCCGTAACATTGAATTTTCAGTCACAACACAACAAATAGTTGAAAACTAATTCTTTTTTAAATATATAGATCAACAAAGGGAATTTTGCATCTTTGAACAAAATCTCCTCTATACACACAGGAATTCAACACTTAACAACATACTTAAGTAACTCAGTTATTTATACAGTTATCTATGGATGTGTTTACATTGTTCGTAATAAGGTCAATCGTACACATTATAGAACATAAGGCCATGCAAATCGCAGTTGATTCATGAAATAGATTATTCACTTAGCGCTCCTTGGGTTGTATTGTATTGTATTGTATCACAGCGAGATTTGAAGTAACAATTTCCAGTGAAAATATTTTCCACTTGGCGGTGATTAATCGGAGAAATTGGAAAAAGAAAAAAAAAAAGAAAAGCGAATGACAGAGAAAAATTGGGAAAACCTCGGAAGCTGAAAAGCGACGCGCAAAACCGTTGGGATGAGACAAGCCCAACTCTCTCCTGAAAATATCCGTAAAGCCACGTGGAGGTCTATTATTGGAATTATCAATGCCCTTACGGTTATGGAGGTTTTCCATTTGGATGAGTTCTTCTGAGAGTTTCGTCGTATACTTATTGCAGTTGCAGAAGTGGATTGATTCGTTTTATGGAAGAGACGAGTGTGGAAGACGCTAATTTACGCGATTCTGCATTTCGCAAACGACGTGTCGTCACATGCAGACATGGGGAGATTGCGTTGACAGAGATTCTCGTTTCTGATTTGCCCCATTCCCCTTTCGGCATTCGCTTCCATCTATCAACGGCGGTGATTGAATTTGCTCAGTTTCATGGGCTGGCCCAGGTAAGTTACATTGATCCAATAACCATTCATGCTGGCCCAAATAGAGCTTCCGATAGTTTTGTAAATTTCAGATACAATATATATATATATATATATATATATATATATATATATATATATATATATATATATATATATATATATATATATATATATATATATATATATATATATATATATATATATTATGTACATTATATTTTTACTGTCGATGACAATGTGTAGATTTAATTTTGGGAATGAGATAAGAGAGAATATAATAAATATTTTTTATACTGAAAACAAGAATATTATTGTCATTTGTGTAAAGTTAATTTTGTTATGAGATAAGAGAGAATATGATAAATATTTTATTAGAAGTAAGAATTATTTTGGTTGCTAAGAACATAATAAATGAGTTAACTAAAAGTTTTGGAGAGAAAGGAATAAATTCTCAATAAAGTAAATTCTTAAATTTATAATACAAGAATGGATTCTTTTCTTTTTAATCCCCAAATGCAAAAAAGCTAAAGTGACTAACAAACTTTTCTTCTCCCATTTCCTACTCATTTCGTCTCGATTGTCACATGCCTAAAATGATAGTGCTACAAAGGAAAGCTTTAACCATTTGTTTAGAAAAATAAATAAAAAATAACTTTTTTTACATAAACTAAAATTAACTAATGCATTATAAAATAAAAGTTTATAAGAACTATGTAAAGAGTTTTAAAAAGATTAGTTTATAAAAAAATGTAGTTTTAACTTTTTCTTTCTTTCTTAAAAAGTAATTTTCAACAATCAAATAAATTTTATTAATATCCAATTTGCAGAAAAGATATGAAATGAAAACAAAAATATTGTAAAGCATAAAAAAAGATTATTTAGTTGTAAAGCAATAGAAATATATAGATAAATGAAGAGGTGAAAAAAAAAGAGATAAAAATATATCATTCGAATAGGCAAAGGTCTATCGGTCTAGGATAATAAAGCATTTATAAAAAAAATTATATATATATATATATATATATATATATATTTGTAACGTAAATAAATTAAGAGTATGAATTAATAAAAATGGATAATATTAATTTAAAAAAATAAATTAATATTGTAAAGAAATCTTATTAATTATTAGATAGGAGAAAGGTTTCATAGTATACAGAAATTAGTAAATCCAACCTTGTGATAATATTCATTATCAATGTCAATCAAAATAAGCAGTAGAAAAACTAATATAATAACATTATGCAAAAGGGCACGTTCATAACTTTTGGCACCATAAAATCATCACTGCAATCAGAGTCATTTATTTACTGGAAGCGCATCCATTTCCTTCTATTTGTTGGTTCGGCCTTCTCTTCTTTTTTTGTTTGTCCTCTCTCTTTGAGGTTAATTTAATGATTATTTTTCAAGTTAATCAATTACACTGAGATAAGTCATTAAGTATGTGTTGATTTTTTGTTGTATAGATCAACACGTAAGCAATTACTTACCAACTTTTCCATTTATCGAAGGTGTAAAGTTAAACGTATTTAAACAAAATATTATTTATGACTCTTACAAGCTCTTTTAACTTATTTTGAATTTTTTTAAAAGGGTCTCATAAAAAGTTATTCTAATTTATTCCAATAACCTTCATAATCAAATGCATCATATGAATCCTTATAAAATAAGTAATTTGTTTGAATAAACACTAAACTAAGTTAATTAAACAAAAATGAAAAATTAAACAAGTTTTCAGCATTTTATTCAACTTGGCGGATAGTGGAAAGGACATTTCAAATTGTAAGTTGCCAACTTGGCATTACACGAGCTCCGTACACATGGCATTATTCAACTTCAGATTTCCGTATATTTGATCAATCCTTACAGAAAAAATGGGACTCTAACTAGTCATCTATCAATGCAAGAAAATTTCAGGAAAATTGGTTATTTCCCAGCAAAACCTGCCCTACATATCATGTGTATATGTATATCTAACCCCAACGAACCAGAATCCAATAGCTACACTCTGATGGATCCCAGCTCCTCTTTACAAAAATTACTCTAGAGAGTACCTTCGCTTTGCTCTTCCGTTTCCTATTCTAAGCAAAAGAAAAATAATAAAAAACTATAAACCAAGTATTTCGTTAGAGATACCTTCCATGACCATCGGCAGTGTGATCTTGCTACAACCCCATAGCCACAGGATTGAGCAGGAATATTTTGTTGCCAGGTCAAATATCAACCAGGAATATTATCAAGGAAACCTAACAACCATGACCACCAAATTTGGTTCCCACACTACAAATTCTCATTTTACGTTTCCTTCACTTGTGTAAATATCCGTTCCATATATTTATCATGAAACCACGTATATAAATGGATCAATCGTCATCCTCTGTTAAGGAGGCAAATGAAAAAGGCCTGAACTTGTAGCCATCGCCATGGTAGAATTTATTTTGAAATTCTACCCAGTGAAGCCGCAGGGCATGAAGAAATGCACTAAGACTCTCCATCATTAGTAGTATAAAGGCAGTTGCAAAGGAAAAAACGGTAAGCCCCACCAATCGGATGACAAGATTGTCATATCTGTTTTAAATATAACCAGGATTGACATTAATTAAATAGTAAGATTATATATATGCAACAATGAAACGCAAAACATTACAGACAGATAACTCCGAAAGCTAAAAATATTTAAAATATAATCCAAGCACGGGGATTTTCATGAAGCTTTGAATATAACTAAAATTTCTAAATACTCCTGTGAAGTAAAAAAAAAATATACCCCTACCTAACACGTGGAGAAAAAATCATGAACACATTACCTTTTCAAAAATTAATATACCTAAAAAATAACTTTAGAGACTTATCCCAGGATATTAGAAGGTGAGAAAAAAAAATACATTTTTTCTAACTACATTAGCATTGACTCCCACTCCATACAATATATTATAAACTGGGAATAGTTTAAAATAAGGCTAAATATTTATTCATCTGTACACAAGACAGGATTCACTTAATCCCTTAAAAATAAACCATAAATCTCCTTTTGATCTTTAGCTTATGAAAATTGTGATGTCGTGGTCCCTATTTTAAACAATGAGGGACAAAAAGGAAAAAGTTTTTTCAGGGACTAAATATGAATATTGCTATATTTACATGGACTTAATACATATTTAACCCTTTCAAATAATATCTAATTGTGGCAACATATTCCATGGTGTATATTCAATTTGGTTAAGCAACAGGACATAAATTGTAATTGCACGGGTTTCATCCCCCACAAATGCACTTTATCCCTTTTTAATTTCCTTATTCTCTCCCGAACTTCCTTGTCAGGCCTATAACAAGCCTCCCTTTGGATAAAAAAAATGGGAGGCAATTGGATCAATGAAGTGACATATCAACAGTAGTAAATGTTTCAAATATCAAGCATCAGTTCAAAACAGCACAGAAGTGGGGCAATTTGATAAATAAGCTCAGATGTTAACAGTATCCAACACATGCCTTTGCTTTCCTCTTTATGTTGACGTAATTACATTATCAACCACATTCCCCAACACCAGACTAGAATCTAAAATCATGTCAGGCTTTAAGTGCACTCTATGGATTATGAACACCATGCTTTGGCAACGTGTAGCTTTTGTGGAACACTAATTGATATATCCACAACAATCTTGAAGGGAATTCATTTTCACTCACATTCAACTGTGGATTTTTGTTTCTTCTACTAATTTAAGCGGGTTCGTTTATTAAATATTTCAATAATACTAAACAATACAGAAAAATCTTAGTAAAAAGGTTGAAAACTACATAAAAAAAGTTATTAATCAAACTTACCCCCAAGCAAGAAGCAGGACTTTCTCATAGAAAACAGTAGAAAGTTCTGAGTGAGCCAAACTGTGCAATTGGGAAGAAAAAAAAAAAAATCAGCCATGGAACAAAAATCCATAACATAGGAATTCATGGACATGAAGGAGAATCAAGAACCTTAATGCCCAAAGCCGAAGATATGATGCTGTATTGGAAACAGAACCTAGAACAAATTCAATGGCATGGATCATTTGGTGAACAAAAACTTCACTGAAATTGAATTCTTCATGATGATGTTGTCTGGCAGAATCAGGCTCAGCCTCAGGATCCACCTCAGAAGTGTTCAGTAAGCCATAATTACGACCTTGAAATCTCTGTACAATGCCAGAAGGTAAAATATTAATAACCTTGACAAACTCCTCAGCATCAACTCCTTAATTACTAACTGCAATGAAAGTGTGGAACAAAGACAAACTATAGGCAGAAAAGCTGTCAACATAACTGACAGCAGTTATTCATATTGATTCAAAAGAAAAAAAATCTTATAATGGTTCTCAAGGAGAGTGAATTTTCAAACCTTATGCAAAAATTCACAGCCAGAAAGGGGAAACTCAAACCACAAGCACATGTACATATAGAGGTCAGTACAATAAAATGGTCTGGCTCAATATAATTAGAAATATTCAAGCAAGAAAACCATACACAAGACAGGTAGAAGTGGCACCTCAGTATGAAGCTTCTTCAGTATAAAAGGTTTCGGAAAGAGCATCCATGGAACTGCAATTACAGCCAAAAGCAATAACACAATCTGCCAATCAAAAAAAGTAATTCAGAATGATGAAAAAACAGGAAATAACGATTTATTATGCAACAAAATAAAAGAACCAGAATCATACTTGAAGTGGTCTTTGGCCCCAAAACAACTGATTCTCACCAAGATTGTCCGTGGGGCTTAAAAACATGTATATCATTACATGATAAAGGTCTGCTTGAGAGCCAGTACACCACTTAATAACAATGAGAAGGGAAAGATACCCAAATAGACAGTTAAGGAAAATCATCTGTGGCACAAACTGGTACCTAACATAAAGAGCAAGTTAAATCAACTACCAAAAGAACAGCATAATAATAACTGCACAGGCCAAGCCGAAGAGTGAGACACCTTATATCCAATGAGCTTCCAAAGAACCGAGCATTGAAATAACTTAATATAATTCCTAAGTTCATATGTGCAACACCGAACAGAATGGACATCTTCATCTTCAGGGAATTCAGGAAAGGCAATTCTGAACGACTTCCACGCCAGCTGGGATCCACTCCAAATGCATATGGATCTTGGTATTTGACTAAGCCAATAGTATGTGCATCCCTGATAAAATGTGAGGAATGTTGAAACCTAGTTGCTTACAAAAACCAAGAAATTGCAGAATAGGTTCCAAAATGTAAATTCACATCCAATATAAATACCCATAATTGGAACAATTTGAAGGAGGAAAGGATATAAGACAAATAAAGTAAAAGAATAGTGCAACTGTGCAGGAGATTCCAACCAATCTATTCCCAATGACATAAATTTGAAGATAAAAAACGTTAAGTGAAAAGTGAATCATTACTCAATTGTCCTAGATTATGTCAATGGTGTTGGTGAGAAAATTTTCTGGTAGTTAAAACCAGTAAACTAACATAGGATAGCAGCATTAAAGCAATTTAAAACTGATATTCTCTTCTTAATTATGACGCCTACCAGCTGTAACTTTATAAATGTTATTCTCTCTTTAATCTGGATACACAGTTGTAGTATAAATGTATACAAACAAATTTAGCTGATTATTGGGCTAAAATTAAGCTTGTTTTAAATACTACCTCTGGTCCTTTATAGAAAGAATATACACCTAATTCACCAAGATTAATAAAGTTGTTAAATTGGTTATTTTCAATTAATAATGTCATAAGTTTTTAACTTTATTCCTAAAATATCCATAAAATTAACTAATGGTTTATTTGATAGTTATATTTTGATGACAGTAATTATTAATCAAGGGATAATTTTTTCCACCAATGACTATGCCTTATATTGCTGATAGCCTAATAAATGCATATACTTTTATAGAAAATGAACAGATATCTCAGTAATAAACCTCAAAATAAATCAAGGGGTATAAAAGGAATTTAGCAATTAATACATTTGAAAAATGGTCCTATATGTTTCTACTAATTAAGACAAAAAAAAATAGTATATTTTCTTTCTTATAAAAGCAGTCAAGAGAACTCTTTTAGAACTATTATGAAACACATTTGAAGGCTTCAAACGAAGACATTCTCCTCATTGTGGTTCCATAGCTTATACAAAGCCAAATTAGTTGAATTAACATTTGTATTTTAGCAATTCTAATGGTACATCAACGATTCTAACTTAAGCTCAAACCTATGACCTTTGGCCAAAAGCCCACTTATTTCAATCACATGTATACAAACATAGAATTTTGATGACATATTTTAGAAAATAAATCAATCCAGCCCCTGCTGCTGGGTCAAATTAGAGTGACGTTATGTTCAAACCTATTGAATATAGAAGAAATAGAGTTTGAGATTAATCTCCTTTGTGTATAAATCATACATAGGGTAGTCTATTTATAATAGAGAGATACAACTAAAAGAGTAACTGAAAGTAACAGACTAAACAGAAGATATTGTTTGATATTGAGATTAACAATATCTAACAATATCAAATAATATCTAATACTCCCCCTCAAGCTGGAGCATACAAATCGAATGTGTCAAGCTTGTTACAAATATAATCAATTCTAGGACCCCGTAAAAATTTAGTAAAAATATCTGCTAACTGATCACTTGAGTTAACAAACTCAGTCTTGATGTCTCCAGACATAATCTTTTCTCGAATGAAATGACAGTCAATCTCAATGTGTTTGGTCCTCTCATGAAAGACAGGATTATAACTAATATGAAGAGCAGTCTGATTGTCACACACAAGTGACATTTGAGTGACATCTCCTAATTGTAACTCTCTAAGCAATTGCTTGAGCCAAACAAGTTCACAGGCAGTTGAGGCCATAGCTCTATATTCTGCTTCTGTACTAGATTTTGCCACAACACTCTGTTTCTTACTTTTCCATGAGACCAAGTTACCACCAATGTAGACACAATATCCAGATGTAGATCTTCTATCCGTTGGAGATCCTGCCCAATCAGCATCTGAGTAGCAAACAACCCTTGTATGATTATTAGAATCATATAACAATCTTTTTTCAGGATATCCTTTAATATACTTTAAGATACGAATGACCGCATTCCAATGATCTTCACATGGGAAATTAAGAAATTGGTTTACCACACTGACTGTAAAGGAAATGTTAGGACGAGTAACTGTAAGATAATTCAATTTTTCAATCAATCTTCTATACTGCTCAGGATCAGGTATAAGCTCCCCCTGATTTGGTAGAAGTTTAGTATAGGGATCCATGGGTGTATCAACAGACTTTGAATTCATCAACCTAGTTTTCTCCAAAATATCCATGGCATACTTCCTCTGAGATATAACAATACCATCATTGGATTGTGCCACCTCAATACCCAAGAAATATCTAAGTTTGCCAAGATCTTTGGTCTGAAAATGGTGATATAGATGTTGTTTCAACTGAGAGATGTCATGGTTGTCACTACGTGTAAGAACGATGTCATCAACATATACTATTAAGTAAACACATCTAGCCCTTGAGTGTCGATAAAAGACAGAGTGATCTGCTTCACACCGAGTCATACCAAATTGTTGAACAACCTTGGTAAACTTTCGAAACCAGGCCCTAGGAGACTGTTTTAGGCCATATAGGGATTTGCGAAGACGACATATCATCCCAAAAGACTCCCCCTGAGCAACAAACCCAAAAGGTTGCTCCATATAGATTTCTTCTTGCAAATCACCATTGAGGAAAGTATTTTTAACATCTAGTTGATAAATAGGTCATTGTTGAAGAGCGGCCATGGCGATAAATAAACGAACAGAAGTCATCTTTGCCACGGGGGAAAAGGTATTTCCATAATCCAACCCAAAAATTTGAGTATAACCTTTGGCCACAAGACGAGCTTTGAGGAGATCAATAGTACCATCAGGTCCAACTTTGATAGCAAACACCCACCTGCAACCAACAACAGATTTCCCAGACGGTAACGAGACCAATTCTCAAGTTCCACTATTATGAAGAGTACTTTGTTCATCTAATATGGCCTGACGCCAACCAAGATGGGCTAAAGCTTCACGGACAGTTTTTGGAATGGTCACAGAAGAAAGAAAGGAAAGACATGTATAAAAAGGTAATGATAGTCGATGATAACTCAAACCAATATAATGGGGAGAGGGATTACGTGTAGAACGGATACCTTTTCGGAGGGTAATGAGAAGGTCTGACTCAGGTGTCACATCCGGAAGAGACAGAGTAGTTGACACTTGAGTAGAGTCACATGGTGGTGGTTGTGATTGGTTTCGGCAATTATAAACCTGAAGAGGCAGTAAAGAAGAAGCTGACTGCGGAGCATAAACTAATGGTGAAAAAGACACAGGTAGAGGGTCACAAACAACAGGAACATTAAATGTACTAGGAGTGTTGACAAGATTGGATGGAGACAAGGGTGAAGATTGAATTTTAAAATAAAAAGAGAACTCATCAAAGGTGACATCTGCAGACACAAAATAACGGTTAAGAGAAGGAGAAAAACATTTGTATCCTTTTTGTGATCTTGTAAACCCTAAGAAAACACATTTATGTGATCTAGGAAAAAACTTGTCAAGGAAAAAGCTTGTCAAGACCATAACTGAAATTATGAACAAAACATGTAGACCCGAAAACTTTTAGAGGTAAGGGATGAACTGGTTCATGAGGGAATAAAATGGAATGAGGTATTTTATTATCTAAAACCGAAGATGACATGCGATTAACGAGATACACATGCAGTAAGAAGAGCATCACCCCAAAAATGCTGAGGAACCTCTCAATGAATTAAAAGAGTGCGAGTTGTTTCAATAAGATGTCTATTTTTACGTTCAGCTACACCATTTTGTTGAGGTGTATAAGCACAAGAAGTTTGATGCAAAATACCATGAGAAGCCATGAATTGTTTAAAAGAATGAGAAAGATATTCACGACCATTATCACTGCTCAAAACTCTAATAGAAACACCGAACTTAGTTTGAATTTCATTAAAAAAAGTTTGAAAGATATGAAATAATTCAAAACGATTTTTCATCAAAAATAACCAAGTGCATCTGGAATAATCATCAATAAAAGTAATAAAGTATTGAAAACCTAAAGTAGACTTAACGCGACTAGGTCCCCAAATGTCAGAGTGAACCATAGCAAAAGGGGACGAAGCACCACGTGTGACACTACGAGGAAAGAAAGTACGACTATGTTTGCCTAATTGACACGACTCATATGTCAAACTAGACAACTTAGATAAGGCAGGGACAAGTTGTTGTAACTTGGCAAGATTTGGATGACCTAACTGAGCATGGAGAAGAGAGGGAGACTCTATAACTGCACCAACATGTGTAAAGGGACAAAGATGATAAAGACCATGAGACTCACATTTTGTGCCAATCACCTGTTTCGAACTCCGATCCTGTAAACACACAGAATTGTTGGTAAAAGAAACAACACAATCAAGAGAACGAATTAGACGACTGATGGATAACAGGTTAAAAGGAGACCCAGGAACATAAAGAACATTATCAATGGTTAAAGAAGGAAAAGTTTAACAGTTCCAACACCATGAGATGATACTCTAAAGTCATCAGTCAGTGTAACAGAAGGTAAAGAATCAAGATAGGATAAAGAGGAGAACAAAGATTTGTTACCAGTAATATGATCAGTGACTCCTGAATCAAAAACCCAAGGACCAGAAGAAGATTGGGTCAGACCAGCAAAAGATGTACCTGTGTGTGCGACAGACACAGTGGAACTAAAAGACTGTTGATCCTTATACTATTTGAGAAATTTGTTGAACATAGCAGGTGTGTCTAATGAAATAGAAGGAGGAACCTTAGCAGATAAAGGTGGGAAAAGATCAGTCTGAGCAACTACAGCAGATCGAGGAGGACGACCATGTAATGCATAACACTTGTCAATCTTGTGACCTAACTTGCCACAATGTTCACACTCATGTAATGCATAGCACTGGTCAATCTTGTGACCTAGCTTGCCACAATGTTCACACTTAGGACGCCCTTTTCCTTGTTTGCGAGGGCGAGTTCGGTCATCACGATGAGATACCAATGCAGAAGAATCATTAACAGAAGCAAGAGTGTCAGGGTTGGGTTTTGCTGGTATACGCAAAAGAGTAGAGCAGGTCGATGTCAAGGTGGGGACAACCGGAGAACCCAAAATCTGATCACAAATATGTGAATATTGATCAGCAAGTCCGTGTAATGCCCCTAGCATGAAGAACTTTGATCGTTGTGCTATCTCGGTGGCAGGGTCGGGGGAAGGAGGCAATAGCTCATTGAACTTATGAAAAAGAGCATGAATTTTGCTCATATAATCAGTCATAGAATCTTGATGTTTAGAGGCAATAACATCTACAAATTTAAAACAGACATCATAGAAACATTGAGTATCATTAGTGTATAATAACTTGGCATGTTCCCAGATTTTGGCACATGTTTCGTAGGAACGAAAAATTTGTTTTAAGGAAGGATCAAGAGTACCCTTGAGAACCACACATAATTGAGCATCAATGGTGTCCCAACGGTCTTCCTCACCAGGAGTGAGAGTAGGTGCTTTCGGGGCAAGATGATCATGATACTTCTGACTCTTAAGCCATAATCTGACGTCTGATGACCATGTGGCATAATTAGGGTCAGTTAACTTGTCAATGGATAAGTGCACATTAACATAGTTAATGTAGATGGAAGGATCAGACGCAGTACTGATAGAATTGGAAGTACTAAAAGGAGCGGAAGAAGTCATAAAGGGCGGAGGCGATAGTGACAGCGGCGTGAACCAGTACACCAGGTAAGTTCCCAAGAAAGAGAGGTGGGTCACTAATGGACACACTTAAAATACCAAGTCTTTCTTTGTCAGAACCTTCCTAGACATGCACTTTCACACTACCAAATAATATCCAGTAACAAAAATAACTTTTTTTCTGATGTGAAAGATCAGTTTAACCGACAACGATAACGGCGGTGGTGGCGGCTTCAACAGTGGTCAAAGGCAAAAAAAATTTCAAAATAACCTTAAGCTTTAGATACCATGTTGAATATAGAAGAAATAGAGTTTGAGATTAATCTCCCTTGTGTATAAATCACACATAGGGTAATCTATTTATAGTAGAGAGATACAACCAAAAGAATAACTGAAAGTAACAGAATAAACAGAAAATATTGTTTGATATTATAGTTAACAATATCTAACAATATCAAATAATATCTAAACAATATCTAACAAAACCAAATAGGGTGCAGAAAAATATTACCTTAAGTAAGAACAAAACAAAACCAGAAAACTTTAACCTTCTCTTTCCCAAAAAGAGTTTAATTTCTCATGCCTGTCCTATTCAGGGCATTAAGAACATTTTTAGAGAAATTCCAACAAAAAATTCTTCAAGATGTAGTTCGCGTGTCAAATTTTTATGTAAAAAATGAATCCATTCATACAAACAAATCAGACATTAAAAGAAATAGTACTCTATGAACCACCACAGTGGAACTTAATTTATTTCATATACTCACAAAATTATCATCAATACAGATATTTTTTGAAGTGAATTTACAAAATGAGCAGGAAAAACATCCAATTGTTTGAAAAAATTAGTGGGAAAAAATATTTAAAATGGTTGGGATAACATGGCATGAAAAAAGGAAAAAAAAAACATTCAAATGAAAGGAAATACATGCAAATTGGCAGAAGCAACAGGTACAAAAAATGGTTAGGAAAACCATTCAAATGAGTGGGTGTGAGAAAAAAACATGGCAAGAAAATCATTAAATGGGTAGGAAAACTAGTCAGTAGAAAAGTCATGCAAAATGAGCAGCAAAAATGGGAGTGGGTGGAAATATGTGCAATTCAGATGGAAAAATGGGCAAGGAAATGGATGAACCTTTGATTATATATGTATGTAAGTATGTGTATGTATGTTTGTGCCTCTGTGTATAATGTGATGAGCAAATCTCAATCATATAAATAAACTAAATGGTTAAGACTAATATTGATCATTTTCTCGTCCGGAGATTTACCCTCCACACCTCTTACTCTCTCTCACCTAGTGTGTCCCCATATAGATATATAGATTACAATTCCAAGAAATCATACAAAAATGTTGATTGTACAAGGCAACTCAAATAATTAAAAAGGGAAAGGAAACATATCCAATCAATTAGCAAGGCATCATATACCAGATATTAAGACAAAAGACATTTAACTAACACCAAAATGACAAATAGAACACCTGCATGAACTATCACGACATTTGTAAGCCGATGCACCAAATATATGGAAAGGAACAGAGAAGAATTCATTGTAGATTAAGCCACAATATATTGAAAACAGTGCCATTAGAAGAAGCACATAGCGCCCACCAAATAGCATCTCCATAAAGCTTCCAAGTTTCTGGCAGAAATTAAACAAAATTGTGAGGGATTAATTCTGAAAGCAAGAGCAGATTAAGTAAACAAAAGTCTCTACTAGCACTCGTATGCACTATTACAGAGTTATTTCAGTAAAACATCTCAATTTTCACTATATTTAAGGGCATAAAAATAATGCTCGCACCCTAGAAAAACAAAATCCACCTTCCAGCTAAATCATACTGATAGAAAATGGTGTTCACACTGGAATTACAGGGAAATAATAGACCAGTGTTCTGTGTACAATAACAGAAGCAAGATGAATAACAGATAGAAATGAAAAAATAGAGATAAACTCATAAGAAGGAATGCCACTGTGCACCTAAACCAAACCCTCCCAGAATTCCCCTTGCACATTTGATGCCCATTCTGGTTGCACTTCCTCCCTTGTATTCTCTCCCCTCCAACGCTTTCCACACTCCTTTCACCATTGATTTACTATCACCTGTCCACTCCGTTAGGCCTCCTCGCTAACAGCTCCACCTCAATTCCCATCTTCTCCTTATAGTTTCCCATCTCCTTTTTTTTGGTACACCCAAATGGAGGCCCAATAGTGGGGATTTCAATAATAAACACTGAATGATCAGCAGCTAATAATAAAAAGCTTCATTGACCTTATTCATTGAACACCAAATGATGACCCTACTTATAGTTAGAAGGAAAAGGAACATTCAAATGTGACATATCTCAACTAAATATTTTGTTCACCAAAGATGAACCACAACATATCACATGCCATTATGTGTATTTGGCCTGATCATTACAACAACATTATTTTGGGTATATTTCCATTATTATATTATTTTATTGTAATACAATTAGATTGAATTACCTGTGTGCTGAGCTTGTTTTCACGTGCTATAAGAACCAATGCTCCTAGCAACAGGCAAATTCCATGACCCCAGTCCCCAAACATCAAAGCAAATAGGAAAGGGAATATAATAGTTGTGTAAACTGCAGGATTTGCTTCTTGGTATCTTGCAACGCTGCCAATTAAAAGGGCTAATTAGGAATCGAATGTCATGGATTTATGAAACTTAGAGATAACTAGTATCAACCATGGTAAATCCTAAAATCAATCTGGAAAAAAAAATATATATATAAACATGTCATAGTATATTACATTATTTAACTCCCAAGGAAGTTTTGAAAACCCTTGGACAGAAATTTAGATCCAAAAACAAGTTTAAACTTTAAAATCAGAAAATGGGTGGTAAAGAGGCAATGCCTGCAACTTTCTTGTCTGCAAATGTTAATTTTGTACAGTACTGAGATGAGGTTAATACTTGAAACTTTTCCCTCTTCATTCCCAATATACAGAGCTTACCCTTCTTCATTTATCTAATCACTCAAATACCCAACCCATAAGACAATTCGAATAGTTGATTTCATCAATAGATTGGTTAAGGAAACTTCATATATATATATATATATAACAAGTAGTTTTCTTTAACAGAAAGATTATCTTTTTAAGAAATAAGATCATGTTAGAGGTTTAACATCTACCTATCAGATAGAGGTATATTAGCATACCATGCAAATTTCTTAGGTAAGAAAAAATAATACATATAAACCGCTCCAAAAAATTACTTCAAGACATTAAATAATTCATGTTGCAGCTACTAAAGTAACTAACCATGCTTAATATTAACTATGCTCACCCGTATGCATCAACAATTTCTTGATATGGATTTGTGAAAGTGTTGGTCCGAAAGTATGTAGGTGGTGATTCCACTGCCTCCAGTGGATGGAAGATTATGCCAACTTGAGAATTGCTATCAAAAGTTGCACGTTGCAGTGCCTCCTGCATCTGGAAAATCATTAAATGCAAGCTCTTCATTAGATAATGAATATTGAATATTTTTCAATTCCTCAAAAGGTAAGTTAAAAAAATACCTGTGTTTTGGCAAACAGGGGGCACCAGCCCTCTCCAACAAGACATTTTTTCGTAACATCAAAGTTTAACATGTTCAGTGTATCATACACAGCCTTCTCTCTTCTTACCTAGGACAAAGTGATAAGGATGAGATCTATTGGTACAGAATATATATCTATTACGTGTACACATTGATCAGATATTAGGATTGGTTTGTAGTTGAAACATAGAGAAAATAAATATCTCAGACAACAAGATATACAGAAGGAAACTCCTACCATGTTCATCCATTTCGCTAGATGGTCTGCAACAGAAGTTAGAGCCTTGTTCCTGTGCCTAACCCCGGCTTCCAAAGTTGCCTCTAAGTCTGTAAGACGTGATGAAACCTGTACCAAAAATAAAATTGTCCACAATAAGCAGCATATTTGAAACTATCCATATTTGTAGTCGGTAAAGGTGAAACATAAATCAACAACAGGAATATTAGGTATAAGGTACAGTTGATGGCAAAACATACAAAACTTTTACCACACGCATACTACCTGATAATCCTGAATGGTACCGCTACAAAAGACTCCCAAAAATTGATGGCAAAACATACCAAAAAACTAAAGATCATCTATACAAAACCTCTTGGATTGCAGAACAAGATGCCCGAATAATAAGGTATAAGTGCCGCTAATTGAAAAACAAGGCTGTGTTTCAAGAGAAACATATGAAGTTCAAAAGTATTTAGCTTAAATGAGACCAAAAGTAAGCTCTCGCTGAAACTGTAGCAATAAAATCCCAATTTTATCCTGAGTAGACTTTGCCGACATGGTATAATGGAAAAAAAAAACGTAATTTAAGAGACCAAAAATAACATTCCTAAGCCAAGCACAATCACCTCTCTAGTTATTTCCCTCTGCTTGCTAATATCTTCAGGAACAGGATAACAATTTGCACCAAATGCCTCACAAATTTTCAGAATCTTTGTTCTCGCCTGTTCCCCAGAGAAGAACACAACGAACACTGTTTTTTCAATCTGAAAAAGAAATTCACAAAAGTATGAGTTATTGTGCAGACAAACGGAATATACACAAACTGGGATCAGGATAACTCAAAATGATAAATACAGATTGAAAGAGGAGGGGGGAGGAAAAACAGAGCCCAATTGACAATCTTGTTAGAGGTAATAAGAAGGAAGAAAACCATCTCAGTTGAAACAGGATCCATGATTTGTTCATCAGCAGGTGCCTGATTGAATAGCATATTGCCTCTCGTTGCACGAAACAACATTCTTTCAAACCTAAGAACCTTGGATTTACAGATTATCCCACTGATAAATCTTAAACCAGACGAATTTGATGACTGAGGTCTCATTTCCTGTAATAAACAATTTAGAATAGTACACTTACTGGATGAAATAAAATTTAACAGTAGTAACAGTATCTCCACTATCATGCTAAAATTTATGAAAGGTGATAAAGGATGCTACAAAAAACCTGTTCAAGTAAGGATGCTGTCTCAACATAGGCATCATTTGAAAACACATTCTCTTGTAGTTCTCTTTCATCGGAAAGTGCAAGGTTATGACTTGAAACAAGAAAGCCACATGCCTGAAATTTACGCAAAAAATTATATCATGAATGCATGACAGAAAGCATAGAGAAGATATTTTATTCATTTAAAAGAACATGGTGCTTTCGTGAATGAAAAACAGATACAATATTGGAATTTGATGTAATACATTAAAAATGAAAGTAGATAAAACAATATAAAAAAATCTATAATTAATGCTAAATTATGATCATAAAAATAGTTATTTGCTAACTGAACTTCAACAGAAAAAAAATAATGTAACCAAAAGAACAGGAAACATGGCATGTGCTCAACACAAAATACCCAAGGAAAAACTATACCTTTTGTAATACAATCTTGAATTCCAAGAGTTCATTATATGATTGCCGGAGTTTGTCACTATTAGAGTTCATTTCAATCAGCTCATGTTCATGTTCAGCAAGTTGTACCTGGCATAAAGTAAACAACAACAAAAAGTATATAATCAGATATAAGAACGGAAATCTTCGAGCAAACTGGCAAACCACTGAGTGCTTACCACCAACTTATGTTACAGCATCATGTCATTGTTGACAGAATGACACAATGTAACCTAAATGCTAACCCTAACTCCCTAAGACAATAATCGCTTATGAGAAAAGAATGAAAAATAGAAAGAAACCTCCAAATCCTCCAAGTCAATATCTGGTTGCAATACAGTACGAGAAGAAGATAATAGGCCAGCTTTACTAATTTGATCCTTGAAGAATCGTAGTTTTCTCGACATTTCCGCACATCGCTTTACCTGCCAAAAGAGAAATGCAGTTAATATTAATAATTAGTGGAAGCAGATAGAGTAAAGCTTGAAAAATAAATCTGAAAGTGAAATTGTAATTCTCAATGTCTCAATGCAAGAGGGAGTATATCTATATAGACTCTGAGAAGTGTCTCCAGCAAGCTATACTAGGTGATGACTCAGCACTATATACGACAGAAGTAATGGCTAGCCTAACTTGACTGAGAAAAAGGCAGGACTCTCTCTCTGTTGTAGACTAGAATAGTTTTATACAGTAACTATATAATGAACTGACATAGTTGCTCTGGGACTATCTCTAACAGTGAGTGATAAGGGGGGAGAAGGAACGCATTACCATAATAGTGATTGTAACAGTAAATCTACAGGAATTCTCATTTGTACAATGAAGATTACCTGATTAACAAATGTTCTCTGGAAGGGGCTTTTATCAGCATTTAACTGCAAACAAGAAAACATTGTCCATAAGAACTGCAATGATGACAAACCATAGAAAACTTTAACTCCAGCAACATTCAATCCATAAATTTACGAGGCCAAAAATAAGTATTTCTACTATACAGAGAAGGAAAGAATTTAGTTTGAACTATGTTTCCTAGATGGCCATCAAAAGTGCAACAACTCTCAAGATGTATAGCGATTCTCACGGGTTGTGTTGACAATCCACCGCTTTTTACGCAACTACTGAGGAGGTCCTCTAGTAACATTCTAACACAGACACTAATGTCATAATAACAACAGCAACAATTCTGAACAAAAAAAAAATCCTAACATAACAAGACCTCGGTGATGAAAATGGTCAACCATAAGTGAAACCAATAACCACTATGTCCTGAATTACTAGTGGAATTCACCATTATCAACTGCATTTGAATATACATTGAATCCACACTTAATTCAACTAACATCGGAACAAGAGAGCAAACTAATTCAAGCTACCCAGTGCCGCATGCATGCAGAGACGCAAAAACTCCACACTCAGCTCGAAGAACACCTCGAGCAGCAAAGCAAAGAAAAAAACGAGCGAAGAAAAGAGGAAATGGCAAGGAATCTTGAGGGAGCGAGGTCGGATCTGGAAGAGAACTTACGTCGCGGAATTGCAGAAGGCCGAGTTCTCCTAAATAGGAGATGGCACGGTGTGCGGACTCGACGGGGATGATGAGCTGAACGAAGGTCATCTTCTCAGATCGCATCAGATCCATCGGCGGCAAGTCATCGATAAACTGCTCCATTTTCTCGTTCGAGAAAATGGACCTTCCTCTAGATCTGAGCCCTGTTTAGTTTCAAGAAGTTGAAGAAGAAGACACTGTTTATCTGCTTTCAGTTTCCCCTCTCCAACTGCAATTACAAAGGAAAATTTCGGTGCCTCGAAACTCTGACAGAATAGGAAGGACAAATATTTATAATGAATATATATTAACAGCTGCAAGCGGTGGTTGTTCTCAGTAAAAATCCCCCAACCTTGTCCGGTACGAATGCACGGCTGGTGACGGTGCGGTCATATATCACAATCTAATGCCATGTGCCCTGTAACTTTTGGCCATCGATGGCGTAATGTGCAATGAGCTTCTGGTGGAAGAAATTTTTTTTTTTTCCTAATTGAAAAATGTTTTTATTTTTTACTTTTTAAATGTTGAAAATAATTTTTTTTATGAGTAAAAACACTATCTAAACACAAGAAAAATAGTTTTTTAACTAGCACCCAATTACAAATTTTTTTTATAATAGTTAATTTTAAAATCATCTACAGTGATTTATAGTGATCATGAAAAATTATTTTACTTTGCTAATACATTACCAATGAAATATATATATTAATTACTACTATTTTGTCCTGCAAGAGAATTTTTTTTATGTACGATAAAAAATATTTTAAAATAATAAATTGTATTATAAACCATACTCGTAATAAATGTATATTTTTAACGTGACACCTATATTTTATATTTTAAAAAAAACAATTTTTTTGGCAAAATAACAAATCATTTTTATTGTGTAAAATTATTTAAATTTCATTTGAAGAGATATTCAAAATTAACAATATATATACATATTATAAAATTTAGTTAATCTATACAGCCATAACTATTATAAAATTTAACAATTAATTAAGCTATTTATAAAATAGTCATTTTAAAATTAAACCATTATCAATTTTATTTTTTGCATGAATTATATTACGTTTAAATAATCATTTCAATTTTTAATAATAACTTATATGTTTCTCAAATCCTTTTAATTAATTAAAACTATTATATTATAAACTAATGATTTGTTTTTTATTGTTTAAAAACTTGTAATGTTATGACTTAAGAGATGAAAGTTCATATAAATTATTATTGATCTCGACTTCTAAGTGACGTGAGATTCGTGAGTGTATCAAAACATAAGTTTTACTAAGGGGTATGTATAAGTAGTAGAGACTTTCTTGGGAGATGAGGGGGTGAAGTTCTTTGTGGGATTCGTGAGTGTACCGGAATATAAGTCCTCCAGCTGAGGATTAAGGGGTATGTATGAGCAGAGAAGACCTTCTTGGGAGATGACGAGATTTCCCCTAAAGTTTTGTAACTTACATTAGTATTTATAATTTTTTTCCCAACCGAGGATTAAGGGGTACGTATGAGTAGAGGAGACCTTCTTGGGAGATGAAGGGGTTTCCCCTTTACATTAGTATTTATAATTTTTTTCCCAGCCGAGGATTAAGGGGTATGTATGAGCAGAGGAGACCTTCTTGGGAGATGAGGGGGTTTCCCCTTAAGTTTTAGGCATCTCAGTTGGTTAAAAGAGAATAGTGTATATAAACTATCATTGACCTTAACTCCTGGTGTATATAAACTATCATTGGCCTTAACTAACTTCTAAGCGATGTGAGATTCGTGAGTGTACCGACGAAACATAAGTTCCCCATTTGAGGACTAAGGGGTAAGTATGAGTGGAGCGAGATGTTGGCAAAATTTGGGTCATGTATATATATGATACATAATTTAAATGTGTTAGGGTCATTATTTATTAACCCAAATAATAAAGTGATCTGACTAAATTAAAGTTTTGGCTAAAGGCATATGTCATGAAAATAAAATTGTGTAGAGACCATTGAGCAATTTCTAATTTGATGAGGGGTCAAATTGGAAATACTAAAACTTAAGTAATTAACCTAATTCTGGTTATTTTAAGGGGTCGTGATCCCCTTCTAGGAGCACACACACATAACGTAAGTATTAGTCCCGTTCCTTTCTTTCTATCCTTATCAAGAGAGAAAATCAAGAGGGAAATACAGGTGCTCTTCAGGTGGAAGACCATAAGATTAATATAGTTCTCTACAAAGACATCATCATTATGACTAATTCATGTACGTTTTCGCATTCAGTTTACATCATATTTATCAGAATGGGATTATGTTTATGTTTGATCGTTAGAATCAAAATCAGGATTATTATTATTATTATTTTTCCAACAATTGGTATCAGAGCCGCCCATATTTGATTCATGTTTGTTTAATTTATAGAACCCTAATTATGAAAATTAGGATTAATTTTGTTTTAAACAATTCAAATTACCCAATTTTATGAACCCTAAGTGGAGGATAATCTCTAATTTTTGTGAACCCTAAAATTTAAATTTGGGGGTAACATCCCCAACCTGATTCTGCTTGCTGATGGAACCGTGGAGGAAGCTATGGATTCTTCTTCTTCTTCGTTTTCCCTTTTGTTTCAGTTTAAGTTTCAAGTTTTACAGAGAAAGAAACAGTGTTTCAAATTTCAATTTTTTTTTGTATTGGGTTCTCTTTTCTTTTTTGAATCTTTTATTTTTATTTAATTTTATGGGTTTGGAATTGGGAGTGGTGTTTGAGGAATTCCCAACATAGAGGATCTTAGACAACTGGTGAATGTTTCCACATGTGTGGCTGTTATTATTTTATTTCCTCTATCCCTTAGGAATTTAAGGAAAATTTGATGTTAAATTAGGGTTTGAGTGATTACTGTTTAATTCCCTTTTAGGGTTTAGAGCAGTATGCTAAAGAGACTCAGAACTATCTATGTTTCATCCCTAGTGTGATTTTAGGGAGATGTTCATCCTTTATGTATTGGTGGAAAATGAGGCCTTTTTTCATCCTTTGATTTACTCAAATGAGGTGTTCATCCCTAATGAGATTTTAGGGAGGTGTTCATCCTTAGTAGAATTCTAATGAGGTGATTCTCTTTTGAATTAGTTTGCAAATATTAAATATTTGGTTTTTTTATATAAATAAAATATTCAATTTTTGGTAGTTTAATGTTTTTTTGTGAGCAAATTGAGTGAAGAAGTCACCAAAGTAACTTCTCTTGAATTGGGCAGTTCATGAAAAATATTGAATATTAGTGTTTGTGTATATTCATGCGAGTATTAGTCGACCCAAAGGAAGATTAATATTTAGCCGAATTGCATACACACTTGTAATGATAAACATGTGATAATTATAAGGATTTGCTTTGTCGATGATAAATCAATCCAAAGACTGGTTTGTTGTTGGACGTGCTTTATTGTCAATGTTTGATTATTACAACAAGATACCTCTAAGCAATTAATATTACTCGTCCAAAGACTTGATATTGATGGTGCATTGGGTGTCTTGAGATGGGTTAAACCACTATTTGAATATATTTTATTTATTTTTTATATAATGTGAGCATAATTAGTTTATTTCTCGTGTTCTAAATTCAACTACAATTGCTTCTGTATCCGCCAATTTAAATTCTGTTTCGGTCCTCAATGGAACAAATTTTAAGGATCTGGAAAGAGAACATTGATATTGTTCTTGGTTGCATGGATATGGATCTTGCGTTAAGGACTGAGCAACCCCTACTCCTACGGATTCAAGTACCTCTGAACATAAAAGAGATTATGAGAAGTGGGATCGCTCAAATCGCATGAGTCTAATGATCATTAAGCGCGACATCCCGGAGGTGTTTAGGGGCACTGTTTCTGAAAACATCAAAAGTGCCAAAGAATTTCTTACTGAAATTGAGCAGCGCTTTGCAAAAAGCGATAAGGCGGAGACAAACACTCTTTTTCAGAACTTGATCTCCATGAAATATCAAGGCAAAAAAAATATCCGGGAGTACATTATGAGCATGTCTAATATTGTTTTTAAACTCAAGGCACTAAAGCTTGAACTCTCATAAAACTTTCTCATTCATTTGGTGTTGATTTCTCTTCCTGCAACGTTTAATCAATTTAAGGTATCTTACAACTGTCAAAAGGATAAATGGTCTCTTAATGAGCTAATTTCACATTGCGTACAAGAAGATGAAAGACTAAAGCAAGACAAGACAGAAAGTGCTCATTTTGCAAGCACCTCCAAGGCTAAGGGAAAAAAAAAGATCAGAGGATCTCGAGAAAGAAGCTGCTAAGGGTCCAGAACAAAAGAAACAAACTCAAGAAAACAAATGTTTCTTTTGCAATAAGACTGGACACATAAAGAAGAAATGTGATAAATATCATGCTTGGCGTGAAAAGAAAGGGTTGCCTAAACTACCGGAAGCCAATTGATTCTGAAAGATGGATTTATGTTGAAGATGGCAAGTCGGTAGAGGTGGAAACTATAGGACACTTTAAATTGTTATTGAGTACTGATTTTTTATTTGGATTTGAAAGACACTTTTGTTGTGCCGTCAATTAGACGGAATTTGGTTTCAGTTTCTTATTTGGACAAATTATGTTATTTGTGTTCATTTGGAAACAATAAGTTCAGTTTGTCTTTTAATTCAGATATTGTTGGAACTGGTTCACTTTTGATTTATGATAATCAGTATTTACTTGATATTGTGGTCACCTATAATAAAACTCCTTAATACAGAATCACGTGGTACTAAACATAAAATTGAAAATACTCATTCAGGTGCATTATGGCACAAGTGCTCAGGTCACAATCAAATCGTGACGTTTGAGCTTGTGTTACACTCTTAAAGATATGGTAGAGAGTATGATTTGTCATTCCACCTTACTGGAATCACTTTGGGGAGAGACACTAAATACGACAACTTATATTCTAAACAGAGTACCAACTAAAGCAGCTACCAAAACACCTTATGAGCTTTGGATTGGGCGACAACTTAGTCTGAAGCATTTCCATGTGTGAGATTGTCCAGCTGAGGCAAGACCTTATAAGTCAAATGAAAAGAAATTGGACTCCCGAACAGTAAGTGGTTATATTATTGGTTATGTTGAAAGATCCAGGGGATATAAATTTTAT